CAACCTAGGGGCCAAAGGAAAACCAACCATTGTATTGGAGGCTGGAACCGATTTCCATTGTTGGTTTTGGCATGCGTCCTTTGGCTATTGTGGTACCCTCATACTGATCCTTGCCAACCAACAGGACAATTCTTCCAATGGCAGTGCATACAGTCAAGGGACCCAAACATACCATCAATACCATGTGCTGCCTTGTGGCACTGTAGGATCTTCTTGATGTCGGATGAGGTGGGAGTGCGAAGGTATTCATTGCCGTAAAGGCGAGAAATTGCACGGTCAAATTTAATACATGCATCCCGTGCGAAGGTTGGCGACATTTGGAAGTAATCCATGAAACAGTGTGTTGCCACACCATATGCACGAGTCTTCAGGGGCAAAAGAAGCCGGGCCTGCAGATATGATCCTTTCTTGCCGGTATAGAAAGGAATTCCACTATTGCCAAAATCCTCTAGCATTCGTTGGAAACGGGCACGGGAACAACGAAACTGAAGTTCAAATTGTTTGTCATTAAACAATGGAGAAGGACCAAGATAGTCATCTTTGATACACTTGTATGCTCTCTTGTGATCATATTTCTTCCTGGGTCCACGAGGTAAAGTGCGGTGATCAACCGTGGCAACGGCTTCGGCATTACCAAACAGAACGTCAATTGCGGCAGCTGAATCCGACTCAAACATTTGAGCCATAGAGGTGAGCTCTTCCCACTCCTCGTCCACGTCTAGCATCCACTCTTCGAAGTCCTCTTCCATATTGACTAGTGTACTGTAATGACTGTGTGTGTTGTGCTGTTGTGGCTGCTGCAGTGCTGTTTTATGGCTGCTGCTGCAGTTTCACTGGCTGGAATAAGCTGGCTGGAAGAAGCTTTTTCAGCCAAGACGAGTTTTAGAACGAGTTGAAAAGTTCGTCCTATTTCACTGGAATAGGACGAGGAAAAAAAATTCGTCCTAACTTTAGGACGACTAGGAGTTAGAGGTTGCTTTCGTCCTAAATCTTCGTTCTAAACTAGAGTTAGAACGAGTTTTAGGACGAACGAAAGTATTACAGTGTAGAGAATGCCCTAATCTTCCATCTTCGACCACTGACAGCATGGTTTTCTATCGGCGCATCGAATGCTGCTGGAGTGCAACTGACAGCGGCGCGTCGAGGAGGCTGGAAAACAGACACAGAGATGCAGGTACTTGCTTGCCATCTGGGATCATCGAGGATGGAACTTGGAAAGAAAGGGAGAAGCCAATCTCGTCACATATACCAAGATTTTATTCTTCCTGAAGGAACTGGCTCCTGGTCACATGCTGTTTTGTGCAACGGAAGACGGACAAGAGTTTATTGGGCACTCCAGCGCGGTTGGTCTCATTGCGTGGTGAGAGCGAGCTGCAACCTGATGCTCTGGACCGGGGTGTGGCCAAACGACTCTGGGAGCTTTCGGACAAGAGGCTGGTACCGGTACCGGCATGAAGTGGACTCCTCGATCCAACGCTTTCCAATTTTTAAAATACGCCTAAAACACTTCTTTGTTTGATCAAAAATTGAAAGTGTGTTTACCGCAGAAGTACCGTATACTAAGTTCGTCAGATTGGTGCCTTATCCTGATGAGGTCCACGTCGAGCACACAAAACACACCAAGAAAACTCAGCAATGATGCACAGAATGATGAATCGAATCCATGGGAATCCATGGTGTTGGGTGCCACTGGACTGAGCTTGGAGGGATGTTGGAGTACGTCAGAACCAAGTCTGTTTCCTTGTTTGAGCCAAAACATTGAAGCTGTTTGTGGGCGACCAATGCGACCCTTGGAAAATGTCAGCTCTACCATAGCTATTTTCCTCGTAGATTGGAATTCTGTCACACCGCGGATGGACTATCTGGACTTTCGCAACTTCGGGATTCTGTCTTGCAGCGCACAATCTCATTGCAGTGCTCTCGCTCTTATTGTATTCTCGAGCACGAGACCTAAACTTCGTCCTTCTGAGAAGATTCTTTGGGCTGGGATTCCTGAGCACCAGCCATCTGGTCTTTGCTAGCCTGTTTTTGCTCGTTCCCTTTTGCTTTGTCGTGATTGGGGTGTTCAACCTCTGGTTCCTTGTCTTTCTTCTGTGCGGTCCCTTCCTCCACTTTCTCTTCGTCAAGTTGAACCTTGGGCTTCTCCACTTCTTCTTGCTCCTTTCGCGGGGCAGATGCCCTTTTCAATGCTTCGTCCTTCTCCTTCTGCTCTTTTGCTCTTCGTAGAGCCTCTTCTGCCTCTTGTTGAAGGTTGTCAGCTTCAGCTCTTTTCTGTGCCACTTCTTCCTCCTCGCGAAGCCGTTCAGCTTCAGCCCGCTTTTGAGCTTCTTCTTCCTCTTTGCGAAGTCGTTCACCCTCTGCCCGCTCAGCTTCTTCCTTTTCTTTTTGCTCGGCCTCTGCTTTTTTCTTCGCTGCTTCCTTCTCCCATAATTCGTTCTCGGCTATGGCATCTTTGAGCATTTGCCAGATTTCGTTGATGTCTGCTCGAAGTTCAGGGTCGTATTCGAAGCACCGGAAGATGACTTCAACAAGCTTCCCTTCTGCAAATGAGGAGTCTACATATCGTGGGTCAATGACAGCCGTCTTACCATCCTTTATCATTTGCTGGAAGACCGAGAGATTCATTGGATGAGTGTATTGTTTTATTGCAAATGCAATGCTTGATCTGACTCCTTCAGTGCTTACCTGAATATTCCTGTCTTTCTCGACGTTGAAGAAGGGGTAGACACCTGTCAAAATGGAGTAGAAGTTGTTGCCTACAAATAATATCGATTGCGGGGTTGGGAAGGATGTTGCATGAGCGCCCCTCAAGATAAGCAATTACTGCTTCCGGTTTCCAGTGGTGTGGACTCACCCAATGACCAAATGTCGATCTTCTCATCAAGAGGGAGATCTTTGTATTCTTCCGGTGAACGCCACTGATGGAAATAAGGAATGAGAGAGAGAGAGAGAGAGAATGAGGGTTCATAGACCTGCTTCATTTCTAGCTAGAAGGAACATATATTTGAATACATACATCGCCATGGCCTCTTCCATTCTTGTACTTGCAGTACTTTTGTGCTTGATCGTCCCACAACATGATTTCTAAAAAGGATGCACATAAGAGGTATGATCAGGGAAAACAAGGGCAAGGAGCATCACCAATGTTTTGCCTAGAAGCGAAGCTTACCAGCACGGTTGAAGTCATTCAGTTTGACAGAAATGCCATTCTCTTCCGTCCATAGGTACTGACAAAGCTCTATTAACACAACAAGGGTATCATCAGATCTCATCCTCTCGATTGTCTTTCTTTTTTGGTAACTTACGAATGTCGTCATGTACAACAACTCCATCCTTGAAGTTGTGCAGTGCTGCAACTGGTTCCACCATGTTTAGTGCCAATTGCAGTTTTTCAGTACCTGTAAAGTTGTTGAGTGGATTGAGAACTTCATCTTTCAGTGGATTGAAGTCCTTGCGGTGATGCTGGAAGCCAACCACATCCTTTTCAACATCACCAAAAGGAAAGTACTCTGTAAGCATGGAAACACCACAAAATCCAAAAATGTCTACAAATTGTTTGTGGGAGGTGAATCGTTCAGTCACAAAGGCGTCCATTCGGACATACTCATAGCTATCGGCTTCATAATCCAGGCTATACAAAGAACAGGTACAAGAGAGAGGATTAGGAAGGAAAAAGCCTTGAGAACAATATGAAAAATAGTCCCAGCAATATCAGATACAATGACTTACTCCCACCGCAATTCTTTGAAAATGGTTTCTTCTATGGTGCCCATGTATAGCTGTTCTGTGACAAAAACTTCACGATAGGCTCCATCACTGAATGCAATCAATCAAGTAAAATCAAGCATGAGAATTGAGAGCCGAACCAAAGTTTCTTCCGAAAACAGTGTTGCATGTATGTGTGACCTACCCAACAAACCGAGGCGTATTGGTGATCAGGTCCAGTTCATGCAGGGAGTTGCAAGTAGGAAAATTGTACCGGTGCCAAGAAACACGGCGACACCTTCCTTCCATCGAAGGATTGTAGTTGCTGTAGAGAGTGTAAGGATTCCTCTCAATGTCTGTCATGGAAAAGGGAACAGCATCAATTTAGCAGATTGTTTTTTGAATACCAAGAAAGAGAAAAAGCAAAACAGCTTGAGGTAGGTATCAAACTGACCATCATCAAATCCCCAGTAGTAGTTCTCATAGTCATCATCTCTCTCCTCGTTGAGGCTCCTTGCTTCTCCCTGCAGATCTTCAACCATGATGTATATTTGTCGCTTTTGATCATCGTTTGCCAGAAGCTTCAAGTCAATGCTTCCAAAGTCTACATATGCCATCTCCTTTTGCTCTTTGTGCCCTAGATCTTTTGGGTACTGAAATTCTCTTCCTGTGGAATCATCATCATCTTTTTGGTTTGGGTCTTCCTGGGAGTTTCTGCCCAGCAGTAAGGGGAGTGCATCATGCTCCTCCTTGGATAAACGGATCTCCGAAATTTCGGACACCAGCTCTTCTGGAAAGTTGTTTGTGGATCGAATGATCAAGTTTTTGGATTTCTGTCCTTCCAACAGGACATAGTAGGCGCCGAGACACAGCAGAAGAAACACTACGAAACCACTGAGAAGGGAGCAACAAGTACAGCCGTCCCCTCCTTTGGCACGGCTAGCTGCCAGTCCTGACTCGATCGTTTTTCTGGGAGGACTCACAATCCGCAATCGCACCAAACAAGATCGTACAAATCCTTGTGTCTTCTTTTTCCGTCGACGACGAGGTTGGGTCGTTGTACCAATGGTGTGGCCGTCACCCAGAGGAATCGTCACTGGTACATGGGCGTCTGCCTCTGCCGTATCCTTGCTGCCTTGTTTTCGTCTTATCATTCTGATATTGGCCTCTGGGCCCTGTCCACAAGTTGGCAGTATACGGAAACAATGATAGCTAGCTAGCTAGATAGTGTATTGTAGGGTAAAAAATGGTTTGGGATTGGGGTTGCAACAAATGCTTGGTCGTTGTCGAATAAGCTGGAAGATTTGGGTCGACCGTTGCGGCCATATGATGTCATCGAAGATAAGCCGTTAGAGCGAAGGCATGCGCCTCCTGACAATTGCGACCGCACCAGCATGAACGCCAATGCAAACCACTGCAACATCGTACCGAGGCCGAAAGACAGGGCTAGCTAGTCGGATAGAACTCACTACCTGTTACATGTATGAGAAGGTATAGCCATTTGCTTTATGATGTGCTGTCAGCCACAGTTGCAGGCTGCCATTCGGCATGCAAGGTCGTTGAAGGAAGATCGTGTGGCTCCCGTGTCGCGATGATTGCAACAAAGATCTGATTACCATCCTAGCTAGATGGATCTGATACGTTTCATCTTCACCAGTGATCACGCGACGTGTTGCTCCTGGAGTTCTGATTCTTCATCCTCGGTAGCATGAAAGTCTGTGTCGTGGTCTTCCCAGTGAGGTTCTTCTGTGGCTTCATAATCGTGATGATCTTCCCAATCTGCATCGTGACCTGCCTCGTCTTGGGTGTGCGGTTCATCTGTGTGTTCATACTCGTGGTCGTTGTCTTCTCCACCAGACTGTTCTGTCTGCTCGCCTGCTGGTTCCTCGTCTTCGTCGTGTTGCTCGTCCACCAATGGTTCCTCGTGTATCCCTTCTTCTTCTTCATGGTACTCAGCGTGATGCTCTGCCCATTCCTCTTGCTCGCGATCACTTGTTTCCGTAGCATCATCATGTTCTTCATCCTCAGGGTATTCATGGTCACTGTGGCTTTCTTCTTCGTCTTCTTCGTAGTCCGACTCGTCCGAATTCTCATAGTCGCTGTGGCTGTCATAGTCGCTGTGACTATCTTCGTCCTCGGTCTCCTCAGAATCGCTGTCCAGATCCGGATCGTAGTGCCATTCGGTGTAGTTGGTTTTAGCCAAAAGCTCATCCTGCGCAATGGCAAGCTCCAGCATTTTTTGTAGCTGATTGATGCTCGGCCGGTCATCTGGATCATACGCATAGCACTCTTCTATGATATCAATCAACCTATTCTCTCCAAAAGATCTGGAACTAAACCTCGGGTCGATCTCACCCGTTACACCCTCGGATATTTGTTTCTGGCAAACCCAAGAAATCTCGTCAGCGAGGGGAACACAATCAATCGCCCGCAAGAAGTCGCCTGCTAACGTGTTCACGACAAGCAGCTTACCTTGATGAAATCGTTATCCTCCACATCTGGAAAGGGATAGTATCCTGTCAAAAGCGAGTAGAAGTTGTTCCCTGCATCCATCAACGTGAGAACGTAAGATTCCTGCTGACATGTGGGGTTGCAATGATGCTCCAGAGTGGATTTGATTTGAGAGGTTCCACTTACCCAAAGAAAAGATGTCAATCTTCTCATTCAAAGGTCCGTCTTTGTATTCTTCCGGAGAACGCCACTTCGAGAACAATCGAACGTATATTCAGCCATGAGTAGTCAGACCGCCGCGACAGACAGAACATGGACGGCAACATCTTACATCACCATGCCCTCTTCCATTCTGGTACCTGCAATACTCTTGATTCTCTTCGTCCCAGAACATCACTTCCGCTCTGTTGAAATCGTTGAGCTTCACCGCTGTTTTGGTTTCGTCCGTCCACAGAAACTGTGAAAGCTCTATTAACACAACAAGGGTATCATCAGATCTCATCCTCTCGATTGTCTTTCTTTTCTGGTAACTTACGAACATCATCATGAACAATGACTCCACCTTCGTAGTTGTGAAGCGCAGCCAGCGGTTCCACCATGGAAAGGGCGAGCTTCAGCTTTTCGCTGCCAGTGAAATTATTCAAAACTTTGAGCTCTGGCTCATTGAGGTACTTGAACCCCTCGTGCCTGTCTTCGAAACCCACCACGTCGTCTTCAATATCTCCATTGGCAAACCTTTCACAAATCATTGACAAGCCGACAAAGCCATAGATGTTGACGATTTGATCGTTCGACGTCATTCGTTCGGTTACCTAGCGACAGAGAAATGAAAGCAGGCTATCGGCGTGAGATACCGCTTTGTTCTGGCCTCGAACAGAGCCCACGAAAAACGCACCAAGGAATCCACTCGGACGTATTCGAAGCAATCATATCCCATTTCCAGACTAGCAAAAGTAGCAAGACGCGGTCAGCGTTGACTTCAGAAAACCTCGTGACTTGAAAACAGGCTGGTATGTCAACGGCCTTCCAGGACTGTGAGTAGTGACTTACGAAAAGTGGATCTCCTTCAGAACCAGACAAGCAAGTTAGTGCAATGCATCAGGATAGAGTCAGAGTCAGTCAAAATGAAGCCAACCCGGGTTGTTAGATTGATCATTGAATGCCAGGGGAAACATACCTTTAGGACAACGTGTTCCTCGTTTCCTGACAAGTCACAACGACCGAGACAAGATCCAACGGTAAGAACACACAAAAAGGGATGTCTTTCCTCTCCTTTGCCTTTCCTCCTTTACCTAGGTTGTAGTTTTCCACCAAAAAGACCTCCCGATAGGCGCCCTCCCTGTATCGTAGCAAGAAAAGCACGTTGGTTGCATTAGGTTGCCATGCACTACCGTACAGTAATACAAACAAGAACCAGCAGAGTGCGCTTACCCAATGAGTGCTGGCATGTTTTTGACTCTATCAATTTCATGCAGTATATTGCCAGTTGGGAAACTCTTTCGGGTCCAGTTGTTGCGTCGGCATCTGCGCCGTTCGTGGATTGTTTCATCGTCAAAAGCCACGTAGGGATTGCGGAGCCAATCTAAATAAATGTATGTATGTATGTATGGCAGTAAAGTTTTAGCCATTGGTCGGCTGATTGGTTGGTAGATGAGACAAACACAAACGACTATTCGTCCACTCTTACCATCTGATGGATCAAGATTGAAGTGCAAGGAACCGTGAATGCAGGCAAAGTTTGAATTGAATCCGGTTGTGATGAGTACGGTGGATTGAATGATTTTGGGCCACAGGAGCGCAAACCTACCATCGAACGCCCAGTATTCTTCTACATCATCATCGCGGGGTTGATTGAGATCTCTGGCACGTCCTTCCGATTCCCAAGGTTCCTTGTAAATGGCCCTCTGCTGTCCTTCTTGTGTGAGGAATCTCATCTCCATGACATCTCCATAATCTCTATAGTTTTTGTCGCTGTAGACGTGGTCATCCATTTCGTCTGGATATTGCATTCCCGTCGTCGTGACGGTGGTCTGATTGTCGAGTTGGACGTGAGGATATTGGAATGAAGTTTCTTGTGTATTGCTGAGTAGGATACTGTCCAGTAAAATGGGTAGTATGGAGTTTGGTGTTGTTGTTGGTGGTCGCAGAATGGATTGTTTCAGTTGTGATGGAATTTTGTGATTTGATGGCAATTGAATGTCCCGAAACGAAAAAACGGTTGGTTGGCGTACACTGTTGTTTGTTTTGGAGAGCAGAATGTAGTGTATCGCCACGGTCATGACCGAGAGCCCCAAACAGACAATGGCAATGGCCCAGGTATAAAGGGTATCGAGTAGTTTTCTGCGCTGTGATTTTTGGTGTGGATAGACGATTCGTTTGATTTGTCCAGGGTTGTCCTTGGAGAAGAATGACAGAAATCCCTCCTTTTGTTGAGTATTATTATTCTTGCGACGGGAAGCAGTGCCATTGCTGCTGGCAAGATGAGATTCCTTCATGGATCCGCCGCCATTGCTGAGAGTGTCGGTGCCACCATTGGACGTGCCATTGGTATTAGCAGCATTGGTGGTATCCTGATTGTTTTGGAGAAAGGTAGCCGAGTTCTTTCGCTTCATGGGAGAGATGCTTGAGTAGAATAGAATCTGATAATGCTGGAAGGAAGAGATAAGGCAAACTTCTCTGTTTGTTGGTTATTGCCATGGAGTTGTGGTCTGCTTTCTTGAGCAGAGCTAGCTAGCTAGTTAGTAGCACTGTCGCTTCTGTTGTCTTGATCAAGATTGACTGAGGATCGAAATTCTGTCATTGGCTTCACCTTTCCCTTTGGAACAGATTTCGGAGGCAGACGTCATCCATGGCAAGCATGCAGGCGCCAAACAACGGCTAGAACCAACCAGCAGAGCTGGAAACCATTGATGTATGCGATGGGGTAAATTTGCATTGATTTTGTTAAAGTTTACTCCATCTTTGCGAACTAAAGAGGAACAATCCGCAATCCCAATCCATCAACCGATCTTTTAGCATTCAGCGACACTTCAATAACACTTTGGGTATAAAAGAAGGACAACTTGCGTGAACTCCATGCATGTACTGGAAAGAGGACTGAAGTGATAATGAGTGACAATAGCAATGTGGTGCCACCCCCACCGTCGGCTCAGGATGCGCCTGGTTCTACCAGCTCTGCCGCTGCAGAAGCGAGTCGATTGATGCCCCCTCCTTCGTCTGTCCCCAAGGCGCACCGTGGAGGAGGTCCTGGAAGACCCCCCAGCAGAGGAGGTCGAGGACGAGGTGGTCGCGGTGGACGAGGGCGAGGCAAACGAGGTCCTGGACGACCTCCCAATTCCGAACGACAAGGTCCCAAAGCCGAAGTGAGACGAGGACCTGGACGACCTCCTGGCAAGCGCAAGAAATTGGCACAAGCTCAAGCTGCTGCTGCTGCTGCCTCTGCCGAAGAACCCAAACCCAAACGAAAATATACCAAACGAAAACCAAATGAGGATGGCGAAGAGGATGACGAGAATCACCACAACCAGTACGCAGCTGTGGCATCTTCTGCTGCTGCCTACGATACTACTACTAGCAGCCATTCCATGGATCATCATGTCCCCGAAAGCCATTTGTGGTCTCCTCATCGACCGGCTTCTTCCGGATATGAAACAGATCCAGAAACTGCCTTGGATCTGACGACACAAAAAGTCTCCACTATTCACTGGGATCCCACCGAAGCCAACAAAATTGGATGGAAAGTCAGACTCCTCTCGGGACCCTCGGTACAAGATGGAAGAATCACACAGTACTGTCCGTATTCACACAAACACAAAATCGAATTGGATATTGACGAAGAAAACTGCTTTGAAGATTGCACTATTCATGCACAGCAGCAGCAACAACAACAACAACAACAACAACAGCAAAAGAAAAAGAGAAAATACGGAAAGAAAACTACCGCCATGTGGATACGATTGCAACAGGAAGATGTCCAAATTGCAACACGCATTGTATGGGCACATGTTAAGGGATACGCATGGTGGCCCGCCATGGTCATGGAACTCACACAGGGACGAAACTCATCCATGGCCATGCCACGAGAAGGATATGTATTTGTGCATTTCATTGGCGCCCCGGAAGTTGCCACGCTACGAGATGCACCCGATTGCATAAGACCATTCTCCTCGCTTGTCGCCGATCCCGTCATTGAAAAATCCAAAAAGAAACGAAATGCCAAGGCCATTGCACAAACACAACGAGAAGAAGTACAGTTGCAGAATTATCAAAATCAAGCGGCACGAATCTACGCAAGAAAAGCATTTGCCATGGCCGATGCCAACAAGTACGTGGGGAAACGCATCCGACTATTTTCCTCCGATATCAATTATCCCGATGGAGCTACTGTCGTCGGCGTTGTACGACAATATTCTTCCTTTCAAAAAAAGTGGTTGGTATCCTTTGAATTGTCCTACAAACTCAAGCATAAAATGAGTGCCGCTTGGATCAACTTGAAAGCCAAAGATTGCTCCTTGACCGTTCTCAAACAACAGCAACCATCACAAGACGACAATAGCAAGCCATCTAGAAAGGCAAAGGATATCGTTGTCGATCCGACCGATATGGATCTGGTGCCATTTCTATTTGGATTCCAATACAAAGTGACCGAAAAAACACCCATGGCCACCAAAAAGGCCGGCAAGAAAAAGGACGACAGCAGCAGCAGTACAGCGGCGGAAGCCAGCGATACGACAACAACCGAAACGACGACTTGTCAAGATGCCATATTGGCAGGCGTTCTCAAAGAAGGATGCAAAGCCTGTGTCGATGTATGGAGCGGAAATTACACCGTCACGTGTGTCGAGTGTGAGGGGACCTATCATTTGGGATGTGTCGACCCGCCTATCAGCACGGAAACCTACCAGCGCCTCATCAAGGAAGGCAAGGGAAAAGTGGTTGGCTGGAAATGCTCCAGGTGCACTCTGTGTTTGGGGTGCTATCAAAAGGATATCGTCTTTGGAAGTCATCCCGTGGTACCCATACCACCTACCGTGTCATTTCCGCAGGGAGAAACACTGAAACTGTGTTGCATGTGTGTCAAGGCGTACGAAGCCAACAAATATTGTCCCAACTGTGCTCATTCGTGGGATGATGTCAAGTATCAAAAAGTATTGGATCAGCTCGACGAAGAGGGCGTCGGACCACCCGAAGAACCGGCTCCTCCGACCAAAAAAGCCAAGCGAAAAGCAGATCAGGACGAAGAAGCATCGGATGCGGGGGAAGGAAGTACCACAAATGCCAAAGGAATGCCCCCAAACACACCCTTTGCCAATGGGACGTTGATGAATGGAGCACGAGTCGACACATCTTGGTACCATGCCGAAAACAACGTCTGGGGATACACCGAAGGAGACATGTTGGTTTGTGATTCCTGCGATTTGTGGGTACATGCTGGTTGCGGAGGCCTTTCCAGAGACGAATACGAATTGACGTCGGAAGGGAAACATCCAATCTACTCGAAGGAATTTCTCTGTAGGGTTTGCTGTCGCCGACGTTGCGTGGACATTATTGAGCGATTGCAGCGGGAAGATCTTATGATGCTGTTCGCCGTTCCAGTGACGGAGAAAGTGGCGCCAAACTACCGCGATATCATCAAGCATCCCATGGATTTGCAGACTATGATGAGAAAAGCCAAGAACGAGGAGTACTTGAATTATGCATGGGCGAGAGAAGACTTTGCTCTCATGGTGTACAATGCAGTCACCTTCAATCGATTCTACACCGACTTTTGGAATGAAGCAAAGAGATTTTTCGAACAATCGATCAAAGTGGTGTTCTCGCCGAAGATGTTGGGCAAGGCTGCTCCATCTGGAAAATATGATGAGCTCATCCACAAGAACTTTCTAGATGCAGAGGCCGCGAGGCAACAGGAAGAAGAGCGTGTCCAAGAGGACAAGTCCACTGAAAAGAAGGACCTTGTTGCTGGGGCGGAAGTCGCAAAGGTAACGCTGCCCCCACTTCGTCAGAAACCACCGGACGAGTCGTCCTGTCTGCCATTCCAGGAAGTGAAAGTCAAACCCGTGGATGCCTACTTTTGCGCTTGGATGGATTGTTGCTTCACGTGCGGAAGCAGTGGAGCAGCCGACACTATGATTTTCTGTGTGGACTGCGGAGAGGCTTTTCACTCGTTTTGTGCCAACGTTCCAATTCACAGTATGGATGCCGATGCTGTTGCTGGGTGGAGGTAAGCGACTTGCGCGACTCATTTGTTTCTGCGCTTGACGCGAGTGCACTAACATTTGAAGCTCACATCGTCCCATTAGATGTCCTAACTGCAAAGTGTGCGAGATTTCAGGAGACGTCCCGCTTGACGAGCTCCGAATGCTCTTTTGCGAAATGTGCGATCGAGCTTACTCCCTGGATTTGCTGGATCCACCCCTCCGCAAGGCTCCTTCCGGGCTGTGGATTTGTGGTCAGTGCGTTGATTGCAAGGTCTGCAACAACAAGTCAGAACCACAGCGGCCTACGAAACAGAAAGGTCTCGCTACATCTACGATCAGTCTCAAGTATTGGTCGAAAGACCCTGAGAAGTGCTATCGATGTGGTGGTTGTGATGGGATGGCGAACCTGATTGTGGGCGACAAGCTGTTTTGCCAGGTTTGCAAGAAAGTGCTCCGCTCGGACGATGGGGACTTTATCAAATGTGGTGATTGCAAGGCCAGAGTTCATGTTGGATGCGACCAACGAGCCGATGAGTTCGTGCAACGACAAAAGGCAGAAGAAATGTTCGCCACTCGCACTGTGAAAGCGCAGCAGAAAGCAAAGGTGCGTCGCACGGAAAATACGTTGCTGTTGCCCAAAAAGCACCTGAACCCGTTCTAATACTGCATTCTCCCTTTTTCGTCAGGCAAAGTACAAGTGTCCAGCTTGCGCAGGAATAAAGATCGCGGCAACCCCCAAAATGGATTATACCACAGTCGATACAACGCAAAAGAGCAATATGCATGCGCAGGCGTGGCAAACCATTGTCCAAGGGAGTTTGCAATGCGACAATTATTCCCCCCTTGAGCTCCACGGGAAACTGTTGGATCAGCTGGACTGGCAAACGCGAGAGATGTGGCGAGATGAGTATATTGCCGTTGTCAACGAGGCAATTCAATTCTACGGATTGGTCAAGTCGTCACGCAGCGACCCACGCAAGATGGTCCAGGGCATTGCGAAAGGGACTATTGATCTGCCCGACTGGATAGGTGAACGTGCGTCTCGCTTTCTGGTGCTTGCGAAGCGATCGAAATGGGATGTGTCTGGGTTTTCCCCAAAGAAGATCGAGGGTTGCGTTTTTGCAGCGAAGTTAGGCGCGGCTTTCCTGGCTGTTGCTTGTCATGGACTGAATGTAGACATGAGGCAGAAGCTGAAGAGTTTTGATCGTGTCGAGCGTCTTTTGAAAGCACCGCACACACAAGGGGTGTTCGAGATTCCACCGGACAAGGTACGAGGAAATCAGGACCAAGGGGGGTCGGTGGTATCACAGCAGGCAACAACTAGCCCGGCAAAGGACAAAGCGGTGCAGCTGGTCGAAAAGAGCAAAAATATAGTGGCGTCTCCTTTGTGCGGTTGGGGCCGCCACGTTGATCCGTCCAGCACCGACAACGCTTGGAGGGATCCACGGGAGTGTTGTCTCTGCCATTTGTGTGGTGACGACGATGCCGGATTTCCGGAACCGGAGGATGCTACATCCAACAAGGCCACAGCTGCAGTTTCTAAAGAGGCAGGATCCAGCACCCCAGAGAAGGCCCAGCTAGAAACTCTCAGTTCTGAAACAGCCCCCAAATTCGCTCGCCTCGGCCGCCTTTTACCCATGTCGGAAGGTCTTTGGGTCCATGCGTCTTGTGCCATGTGGAGCAGCGAAGTATGGGAATCACCTCGCGGCGGTCTTGTCAACGCGATGGAAAAGGCGAGATCACGCGGGGCCCAACTGAAGTGCTTTGGATGTGGCCGCGCTGGGGCCACTGTCGGCTGCAACAAACCGAACTGTTCGTTCAACTACCACTTTCCATGCGCCAAAGCATGCGGGGCCATCTTCACATCCAAGCAACAAATGTTTTGTGTCAACCACAGAGACAACCACAACTCGGGGGGCACTGTTATCCGCGAAAGCTTTGAAGCCATGAAAACTCTGATTGTGGCACCCGAAAAGCAAAAACAACCGACATCTGGCGCGGACAAGGATGCAGGAGACAACAACGACTTTTGCATTCGCGTTGGCTCTTTGGTCATTCATGCTCTGGGCAAGATTGTCACCGATGTGGATGGTTTCCATACGGATGACTATATTTATCCTGAAGGGTTCGTCTCCACAAGAACCTTTTGGTCGATGGTTACTCCCAAGACACGAACAGTTTATGTGTTAAAAATCGAGAGGAACACTAGCAGCGACAGCGCAGGAGCCCTGTTTACAATAACGCCAGGAGATGCTCCATCTTCCAAGATTCGCGGTCGCTTTGCCTCCCAAGTCTACAAGACGCTGGTGGATCGAGTGCGAAAGGTGAACGCGGAGTACTTCTCTCATGGCGATCTGTTCTCCAAGCTCCCCATGATACGAAAATCCCGAAAACGATTCTTTGCCCTGAACGGTCCTCAATTCTTCGGATATGGGCTGAATCTCGTGCGAGAACGATTGGAGAACATGTCTGGCATTGAAGCAGTGGCGGCTCCTCTGAAACCCACGTCGCCAAAATACCGCTTTTGCTTTGTGCAACCGAGCATTGACAGCATCATGGACTTGCAACGAAAGCGTGCCGCAGTGGCTGCTGAACGGGCGTTGGAGAATTCAAGTGGTTGCGCCAGAACTGAAGGTCGTGTTGCTGTTGCTAGGAGCGGTGGCAGTGGGCGCATTACTCGCGCACTGGTTCGTAGCGTAGAAGAAGAGACCTCCGAGGAAGTGGGTGGCAGCAGCAGCGGGGGCAATCGGCGCAAAAACACGGATTCTGAGAAGAACAAATTGGACAAGAAGCGCCATCAGGCCAAATACAACAAAATGAAGTCAGTTCCGATTAAAGATCGCCTGGTGGCTCGACGGTCTCACATTCATGGGTGGGGCCTGTTTACAAAGGCTGAAGTCAAGAAGGACGACATGATTGTGGAATATCAGGGAGAGATTGTTCGGAATTGCATTTCTGACAAACGAGAGGCTGCGTATGAGATTTCTGGGGAAGGATCCTGTTACATGTTTCGGTTGGACTTTAATCGTGTAGTGGATGCAACAATGATTGGCTGTATGGCTCGCTTCATGAACCATTGCTGCCAGCCGAATGCATACGCCAAGATAATCACTGTCGATACCGAGGGCGCTGGAGTGGACAAGAAGATTGCCGTGTTTGCGAATCGCGACATCGCCGCTGGTGATGAAATCACGTACGATTACAAGGTAAGCGCTTGTGTTGATTCAACCATCGATCGGTCTTCGCTCTTCTTCTCGCAACTGATCTGTTGTCGGTGCATCTTACATGCGTTGCTCTGTCCCCTTTCACTCTACGTTACGCCCAAAGTTTCCTGTGGAAGATGGCAGTCTTAAATGCACTTGTGGAGCCCCCAATTGTATTGGCCGAATGAACTAGCTGCAGTTTGCCCCTCGCTTATAAAGCCAGCAAGGATCTCCCTCGTTGATTAGTCATGTACCCTGCGATATGACTCACTCGTTGTCACGTCTAGAGACGCCCATCGTAGGTGCTCCTGACTCTTGCCGGTGTCCCGAACCGCATGGCAAAGCTGTCGCTGCTGTCCTATATGTTCTCTTTTGGGAATCCTTTCTCGCGAGCCCACTTGGAGACATTAAACACCTGTTGCAGTTCTACCGTGTACGCGTCCTCCATTTGCTATCTAGATAGGTAAAAAGTTATAGTGCTTCAATTTCGCGACTGTCACTCATGTTCAAGCCTGAGGCTCAGATACCGGTATGGTACAGTATCTTTGCTGCTTGGGATGATTCAAGGTCCCCCTTCATCGAGAATTTACACGCGTTGTAGATGTGAAAACGAGAACAGAAGCACACGGCTGCCTTTTTCAAATGAGGTTCATGGATGTGGCACGGAGAGTGATGCCGATACCTACAACAGTACCAGTGCCTTGCTACTAGCAGGAACACGAACATCATCATACGTACCGTTCCTCTATATCTAGCTAGCTACAGTTTGGGTAGAAGAGAAACGAGACAATGACCACGAGCACGAATAGTCTCAAGGAGAAGGATTTGTATTTTGTGGCGGTAAAGGGGTTGCTGCGTAAAGGAGACGAGCTGCTACTCACCAAGGACATTTTCAAAGACGGTTGGGATATTCCCGGCGGTCGGCTCAAGCCGCACGAATTCGAGACACCCCTGGCCGATGTGCTAGAACGCAAGATTCGGGAGGAACTTGGACCCGAAGTGCAGTACATGATGGGGGAGGCAAAGGTCTTTTTTCGCCACGAACGAACCGAACCAGATGCCGGGCATGTCCGCATCTTTGCCGTTGGCTTTGAATGTCAATTCTTGCAAGGATCCATCCAGCTGGGTGAACATCACGAACAATACGACTGGGTCAACGTGAAAGCCTTTGATCCAAAGGAACGCTTCACTGGTGGCTGGTGCAAAGGGCTGGAAGAATACGTGGCTCTCGTCAAGCAACAGGATCAATCATCAGAGTCGGCATAAAACTACTTTAGTAGAAGGTAGACATTACACTACAACGTATGGAGCGAGCGATACCGGTAGCTACCGATAGATGTATGGTCTTGCTCATTGGTTGGAAGATTCAGCTCCAGTGTTCCCATGGTGCTTCCTGTACATGTAGTATCGGTTTGCCCAACCAGACGAAACGCACTGTTCATGTTCATCATCTGTGGTATATTGGTGCGATGGTTGTGATGTTTCGGTATGGTACATCAACGCAAGTTGCCGCTGCTTGGGTTGATGGTTCTCCATCCTCATCCTCATCCTCATGGCCCTCTTGTTGCATACGGCATCAGCACTACTATGCCACTCGGAATGACTTGATAATGCGCTGTTCTTCTCTCTTTGCCTCTCTATTTTTGATATCTTGTCGTTTATCTCGAACGTTTTTGCCTCTACAGAGTGCAATTTGTATCTTGATTTTGTTGTCGTCATTAAAGTATGCCTTGAGCGGTACAATGGTCATTCCGGCCTGATCGACCTGTTGTAAGAATTTGCGTGCTTGATTTTTGTGTACGAGCAATCGTCGTTCTCTTCGTTCTTCGTGTTGAAAGTATGCTCCACTCATGGAATGTTTTCCAATGTGTACATTGTAGAGTAGACAGGAGCGACCGTCTTTGGTGGGTCGTACGTATCCATCTCGTAGATTCATCTTTCCATCGCGAATGGATTTGACTTCTGTTCCTACCAGGGATACTCCCGCTTCGAGTGTTTCGACGACTTCGTAGTTGCGACGGGCTTGTCGATTGACGCAAATAGTGTTGCTCTTGGCTTTTGGTTTTTTCTTGGTTCTCTTGGCGGATAGCTGGGTAGCACTACTTGTACTTGTACTTGTAGTAGAAGATATTCTGGTTGGAGCTGGTATCAGAAAGGAATTTGCTGGATATACCCATGATAACTCAAGGACCACGATGGCCAAGAATACTGGGTACATCATCATCATCATCATCATCATTATTGCCTTTACTGAACTGGCTAGCTAGCTGGTTGTTGTGTCGCTTTTGGTGCTTTGGAGAACAGATCCGCACACAACACAACATTATTTGAGATCGGGATGAGAAATGGATGAGAGGGCCAAGAAGAGGGCGACACGATTTCGTCTGACGTCATTAGTGACTGATTGCGGAAACGAGACTTCTCATCTCCAATCAACCCTTCGCTGCGAAGATCTCAGCACTCGAGGCCTTGAGCAACAAGCTCTCAATTTGTTGCATTGACAGTCCTGAACTACTGCACGGTATATAGTACGGCATGTCAACAGAACGCATCTATATCGGAGGACTGCGGCCGCCCCATCTGACGGCGGGAGACTTGTTAGGACGGCTTCAAAAGTCGTTGGGATCCGTGCTGGAGATTGATGCAGATGATCGCAGTGCCAAGGAAGCGGCCTGTTTTCTTCACGTCGCCGCCAAACTCAAGAAGAATGACGACGACGACAGTAATAATAAGACGGCACTGGAACACATTGCCAAACTCTATCACAATGTGACTTGGAAAGGATGCAGATTACGAGTGGAACCTGCAAAACCTCATTTTCTGCAACGGCTGCAACAAGAAATTCAAGAAAGAAAGCAAACTACTACTACTACCTGTGCAAATATTATCAAGGATTCGGATGAGAGTCAAACCGAGGAACCAACGCACAATCCAGCAACTACTAGTATACCGCCAGTGCCGTCCAAGAATGCCCGACGACACTTGAAGATTCGACAACGCTATGGCGAACAAGTGTTCTCTGTCGACACTAAGCCTTATGCCGTCGAAAGTTGGAGAGGCATGCAGGCATTGCTGAGAAAAATTGAACGTCGCAAAAGACACTATCAACAAGAACTCAAAAACAATTCCCTGACACACAAAAAGAACAGCAAAAAGAACAACAATAATACTGCCAATATTCGGACTCAAGCCAAGCTCAACCGAGCGGTCCATTTGAGATTCACCATTCATCAGCAACAGCAAAAAGAATCATCTGATAAGGATGCACGACAAGTAGCTTCTACCGCCAAAATCAGGGATGAATCTGATCAGTCGTCGTCGTCGTCGTCGTCGTCGGTTGTGTCTACGTCGTCCAGTTCCCCTTCTTCTTCGTCCAGTGATGATAGCGATACAGATGATTCTTCCGTGGAACAACAAGAGAACGACAATCATCTCAAGACTACTGGTACCAATTCATCCACTGCAAAACTTTCAAACTATGTATGGTCGTCGTCTTCTTCATCATCTTCAGTATCAGGGGACGACGAGTCAGAATCACAGAATGATAATGATGATGATGATGACAACGATGGAAGCGCATCCGACAATGACGAAGAAGACATTGACAAGGACGGAACGAGGGCAACAGAGCCGCCAGAAGAAAGCAACACAAAGCCTGAAACCAACAACAAATCATCGAGTTATGCATGGTCGTCTTCATCATCAGAGGACGAATATGAAGATGATGCAGATCAAGACACGAAAAATGACAAGGTAGAAGACATGACAAAGATGGAAACGTCTAGACAACAACAAGACGCCAAAAAGATCGCATCCTCCGAACATGAGTCGGAAGGCACTTCTGAAGACGAATCTTCCTCGGCTTCCAGTAATGAAGAGTCGGAAGGATCACAACCCATTAACGGCAACAACAAGCAACACCACTCGCCCAGGCTACCATCGCAATTCGATGAGTTTGAGTCCGCCATGCCAACCGCCAAGGGCGACACTGACAGTGACAACGATGGTTCAGATATAGATATAAAGAATCACGATCCAGAAAGCATGCAACAAGACGAGAGTGGCAATTTGCTCCAGGATGTCGAATCCAATCTCAGTGTCCTGGCGTCCTTGTTCCCGGATATGAAAAAGACACAGCCACGCAAGGTTGCCAGCGCCGAAAACGACGATGCACAAGGCAATGCAGCTGCAGCCACCCAAAGCAAGAAAGGATGGAGTGCCGGGGGCATAATGCTCCGATATGACCCTCGAAACGATACGTCAACCACGACGACAAAAACGAACATTGAGGCGAAAGAGTCGGAAAAAGACAAGCAAGAGTCCGATAATACTGCCAGTAGCGAGACTTCAGCGGAAGAAGAAGTGACCTCGGAAGATGAGGTGACCTCGGAAGAAGATGAGATACCCGACAAGGAAAGGAAGGATAGTTCGTCAGAGGACAGCAGCGCAGAATCAGACTCGGAGGCTCCTGAGAATGAAAGTGAAAGTGAAAATGATGACCCGCGTGAGAAGAAAAACCCTGCAGCAGCAGCAGCAGCAATCAACGAATCTCGTGGTCCAGCAGCTACTTCTGAAGGGGACATTTACAAGCAGGCAAAGTTGGAGGATCTCTTTCGCGAGGCAAGAGAAGGAGTTTCAAGTACTAGTAGTGTGAAACCGACACCAGGCGCCACTTCCGGCACTGCTGGAGGGTTCTCCTTTGGTTTCGACCTTGGAACGGATGAACCTGTGAAGCCACCTGCAGCCTCGGCATGTTTTTCGTTCTCCTTCTTTCCGTCGTCAGAGCCGGAAACCAACAACCAAGAGGCGAAGGGAGAAAGCAAAGTGGATACCGACGAAGAGGGAAAGAAAGTCGCTGAACCTGCAGACTCTGCCGCCGCGGAAGAACTGAACCAGCCCAAGCAACAACCTCCCACGTTTCGTCGACGAGGCATGCTGCTCCCAAAGAAGGTTATCGACCAGTATCAAGAGGATTTTTACGTAATGGGTGATGGTCTGAAGATCTTGCAAGACTTGGAAAGGTATCACAAAGACCCAGAAGTGAAGGCGCATTGGAAACAAGAACGACAAAGTCTAACCTTGGATTGGAAACGAAAGAGGAGGCATGCTGTGGAAGCTCGCTCAAAGCACCAAAGGAGCTACAAACAACAGCGTCGCTGACTTTTTGGTTTCTGCCAAGTCTAGCCAAGGCTAGCGTAACTGCATGCGTACCGGTACCGTATTGCAATGCCACCCAATTTTCCAAAGAGTTTCTGTCTAGACGTCTGTCCACACCTGAAAAGACACAGCCGCATTCCCCCAAGTATTCAATGGTTGCTTTATGCTGCTATGCTAAAAAGTTGGAGGAGAGCATGAGAGTCGAGTGAGTCCAGTACTGGCACTTTTAAAAATGACTTAAAGAAAGTATGGTCTTGCCATGTAGTACTGTACAGTGCCCCAGCAAAACTATTTGATTGACGGTTGCATCATTGGCCATCAGTCTTGTCCACTACCACTTCCCCGATCTTGTGCGTTGCCGATCCACGGGCCTTTGGTTGCTGTTGCGAAGCATCCGGCGTCCATCCAATGGCAAATATCACTTGCACCGATGCTTCCACCTCTTTATTACCGAGATCTGGATCGCCATCTTGTGGTTGCATTGCATAGAGCTCATCATAAATGCATGCCGTGGCTAGAAAGGTGTCTTGTGCTGTTCGCTCCCTCTTTTTGATACTGGCGTTGTTTTCGCCCATTCTTTGGAGATGTTCCATGAGAACAAAGGCATCTGGATAGGATACATGTACCGTGTCAATATCAATGGTTGGGAGGGCAAATTTCGCACGTTGCATTAGAGACCCAATGTCGGAGAGTTCCACAAAAGGTCCGACGTGAGGGCTGACTCCACCCTCTCGTTCCAATTCTGCCATGACCATTGCCACTCGAAGTTCGGGCAACGTCTCTCCACCCACCATGGCAAACATGAAACATCCATCTGGTTTCAAGACTCGCTGATTGTATGTTTGTGTGATGTGTGATAAATCAAGGTTCAACAATCCAATGAGGCACTTGAAAAGGGGAACAACGACAGCACATCCAGCAAGTAACTTACATGTGCCTCCTTGAACAAGCCTGGTAGATTATTGACCCAATGCAAAGCGCACGAACTAATGACAAGATCAAAGGTTCCATCTGGAAACGGTAGCTTCCCTTCCTCCTCGGCATGCATTCGGTAGGTGCCGCATCGGTCCATGCCTTCAAACTCTTCCTCCGCGTCGCGGTGAAGCATTTCCTGGCTAGAATCCAACTGGACCAGTTTTCGAACACCACCAATTCCTCCCTCTCCTTCCAGGGCATCGTCCGCACAGATGGCTCGATAAATGTATCCCGGACCCGATCCGACATCCAGCGTCAATGGGAATCCTTCTTCTCTCCGAATATCATCCAATCGATCGACCAACCGACGGGCTATTTCCTCCCGAAAATAGTCGTATGATACTCGATCAGTATCATTGATATCATCATCTGCTTGTTTCCACAGTTGCTGTGCTCGGGCTGCATTGTCGCGTTGACGTTGCTTGATGGTGCGATCAAAGGCTACCGACGTGCTGCTGCCGTCGCTACTGGAAGAAAGCGAACGGGACAAGCAACATGGCGGTCGCAGTACTTGTCGTGACGACCTCACTCTACTTCTGGTCGACGACGATAGCCCCTCCTGTATTGGAGCTACTAAACGCTTCCTCGTCGTTGAAAGCAGGAGCCTTGGGTAGTTCATCATGGTCTCGAAGTGTGAACTGTGGTTTGTGGTCTGTGTCAGTTTTGTTGTGGTTGGAGGTTGGAGGTTGGTGGCGTTTGTGGGTTGGATCGGTTGTTAAATCTTTCTGTTGGATCTTTGGAAAAGGATTTAAGCGATAGAAAGATCCAATCTCGGCCAGAATTATTCATCGCCCCACACCCAACCTCAAACCTCCTCATGGCAACTAATAAGTTCAATTGAGAGCATCGGTCCAAAGTCCCGGTTTCAGACCATAGCTAGCTAGTAGACACCTTGAAAATGCTACAACGCCTGATCATGGCCATGGTTGTAGCAATGCAAACGTCGAGAGTCCGAAGCTATGTGTTTTCCAATCTACCGTATTCCTGTCATTTCAGTTTTTGTCCCAATCAGCTGCATAGGTCAACGTACCAGAAAACACTGACAAGGACAAGAATAACCTACAAACGACTACAAAGTCCTCCAACACGGCTGTTTGGTACCAAAGAATCCTCTTTGCTCAGTGACACAGATTCATCGCTGGAAAAATCAGTGCCGGTAGCACCAGAATTATTGTCACCCAGTCAAATCCGGTACACTGGAACGGTCACAGTATTGGATCAAGGACAGCATCACCTGGTGGTTGCCAAACCGCCGTCAGTGCTCTGTCACCACAGCGGATGGGCAGGATCCAGAAAAAAGAAAAAAGACCAGGAACCAGAGATACCCATGCTTCAACGCGTCCGACAAGCACTCCAGGGGAGAAGAGTCAATGTCATTCATCGTCTGGACCGGGGATGTAGTGGATGTCTCTTATTTGCCTATGCAGAAGATGACAATAATAGCAACGACACTGAAAATGAGAAGGAGAAAGAAGATATCAAGTTGATTTGCAAAAACAATACAGCCATTCTCAGCGATGCATTGGGAATGAAATCCACCACCAAAACGTATGTGGCACTGGTCCGTGGTGAAGGGATCCTTCACGGACGGGATTTTAAACAGGAAGGATGGTTTGAAGTATCACGTCCTATCAAGAACGAACGAGGTAACCTTCAAAATGCAACAACCTTCTTTCGCTTTGTGGCTGGGCAAGCCAGCATCGGGACAGAGCTCGAACAACCACGAGCTAGCCTGGTGCTAGCACGGCCCTTGACTGGGAAATGGCATCAGATACGACGGCATCTCAATGGATTGAGTCATCCGATTCTAGGAGACTCGTCTCATGGGATTTCCAAGGTTAACCGAGAATGGAAAGAAAGAGGGATGCCCGCAGAACGCACCTGCCTCCACCTCGCACGGTTGCAAATGGAACCAACGACTGCGTGCCCGGATGGTATTGATGCCTCTTGTCCTTTGCCCGATGACATGATGGACATGTTGAAGAATCATCTGCCGAACGTCTTGAAGGATGCAGCACCGATTCTGGAGGAAGAAGGCATTGTGCTCAACCCAAACAACGACAACTCGAAGGCACTGCCGTACGAGTTTGTAATCAATCAATCGCAATAGTGCATTGGACCTGCCTGAGTCACTACTGGTAGCTAGCTAGCTGACAATAAATAATTGCTGAAGAGGGTAAAGGTCTATTGCAAAAGGGAACGTTATTACAGTTATAGTCTATCATACAGTATGTTTCATTAGTAGCAGGGGTCGAGGACAGAGAATGCAGCTCATGTCTTTGTGGCAACCTCTAACGACAACCACAGAAAGAAAACAGTGGCCAGGAAAAGTTCGTGTTGCCCAAACACAAAGAAGAGCAAACTCGTATATATTGCAAACTTGAGAATCTCGCACTGATTCAAGATTTGCTCATCCACCACCGTGACCCCTGATGTTCCTGCTGGCCCAAATAAGGCCGCACCTGACGGGTCACTCTTTCCTCCTCCTGCATTCTCAAAGACAAGCTCTCGAATAAAAGTTTTGGCATTCTCTAATTCCACAAACAAGGTTTCCACCAATTCGTCTGTGGCCACTAACTTTTCTTCGAGAAACTTGATCCTCATTTTGCCCTCTACAGACACCTCGCCACTCTTTACGGCAATTTCACCAAGCGGTATCATGTAGTCATCACCATCGTCACTTGGAGGATTCGCGGGAACGGGAGAGATACCCGAACCTTCTTTATCTTTTTCCGCGACATCCGACGATAGATCTGAGCTGACAGAACCACCGGTGGCACCGATGCCCACTGAGGAGTTGATTGGAATAGTGGAGGGATCCGTTTCACTTCTAGAAGGCGCAATCCCCTTGAATAATCCCCTTCCATTGATAACAGCTCGATCCGTTTGCGTAGAATACGACCTGGCAGGAACACCACGACCGCGAGGATCTGGTGGGTCAGCGGTCGCAGCATCGTCGTCACCTCCGAGTTTGGCGTCTTCGTCGAATTCATCTTCAAAGCGTTCGACACTGCCGCTGGCATCGGACGAGTCGTCCGTGTTCAACCGATCGTCACTGGAGTCTACTCCCACAGCACCGCGTTCTATCACCCGCCCAACAATGCCATGGTCTCCGACTCTGGTCGCCGCCAGGTCGACTTCTACGCGTTTCTCCAAGATCTCAGGAAATTCATCTTTGTACTTGTAAACAATCTCCCTTTTGAACTTGTTGATCAGCTCGTTCGCAATGACAGCAACATTCTGGGCGTTTTCGTCCAGTTCATGGGCAGCTTCTTCGTCAACGATCTCGTCTCGGAATTTCTCCAATATCTCCTGCCTAAACTTCTCAATCAGATTCAGATCGGCTTCATCGGGTGGTGCAGCGGCTGGGGTTTCTCTACTGGAGGTATCTTCCGTTGCAGTTTGGACAGGCATCTGACTTGGAGGAACGTTAATGGCTTGGCTCACAAGGGGCAGTGGCGAGGGTTCTGGTTGTTTCATTCCGGGTGGGCCAGTGGGCTGCGCATCTGGTTTGCGGAAAACTTCATTCGCATTGGTGGCGGCATGCGCTTCCTTGACGAGCGCAGGTGGCTCTTTCCTCGCAATTTCTGGTGGAGAATCTGGTACGGGTTGGTTCTCCTTGTTGTCGGCTTGATCTGCGTTCGTGTCCTCGGTTGCGAAAGTTCGATTCATTGACACGTCAGTAGTGGCCCCTTCGTCCATGGTCGTATCCCCCATAGTTGTATCGCCCATTGTCGTATCCCCCATGGTAGTGTCGTTCATCGTAGTGTCGTTTACAGTCTCGGCATTGTCACCATCGTCATTATCATCTCCGTCGAATTCGTCGTCCTCCATGTTCATGAATTTGGCCAGGATTTGCCTTCTGAAGGCTTCGATGTCGTCCTCGTCTTCAGTCTCAGCTTCACCACCAGCCGCTGCCGGGGAATCGGCGGCAGCAGCTGCGTTCAAATTGCCCCCTTCGGTGTCACCAGAAGGAGCGGCCAAGCCCCCACTGTCAACTTCAGCCAAACCCCCACTGTCAGGCGAAGACAGCTCCTCTATTGCATCCATAAAATCAGCAGTGGCTACGGACATGTTCATTTGAGCCATGAACCTCTCGATCAACGGGAACTCTGGACCAGAAGAGGACGGCGGCGGCGGTGGTGGAGCCCTTTCTTGGATCTCTTTCATCTCCTTCAGTCTCAGTCGCGTTTCATGTAGCTCTTTCCTGAGATTCTCCAGGAGGACCCTATCGTCCACGATCTCATTGACTTTTGGCTGCAGTTTGATCCTCTTCGCATTGTAAGCAAACTTCAGCGTCGATCTAGTTTCTTCAAGGAGCTTCTTCGCGGGAGATGCACAACACAAGATCGATATTGCTGCATTTCCTGAAAGATGGGGTTGTAATATTCTTGTCAGCTTGGAATCACGATAGTTGATGTGTTTGGGTTGCTTCTTTTTCGGTAAGCTCAGTTGATGAATAACTTGGGTAAGCGAAAGCAAACTGTAACGAGAGAAGCGACGTTAGTGGACACATTCTGGAACCCCTTAGACAAAATCTGCCAGTGACACATACCTCTGATTGATCTTTCCACCCTCTCGTTTCCGTGCACCAGACGTGTTGGCTTTTGCAGCATTCTCGGAGCCGGCCAAATCAACAAAGTTCAACGCAGCCACGCGAACTTTCACACTCTCGACAACGTCAGCATCACCTTCTACCCGCTCGTGGCTTTCAACCGTCAACCGAAAGATTGCATGACTTCTGGACGAGAACTCATTTGAGTCGGTCTTTTCCGTTGCACGGTTTCGGTTTCCTTTGTGAAGCACACGAGTCACACCTGCCACATTTGAAACTGGGGTATATTGAGCATCCACAAAGACGTCGCCACCTTTGGAATCTTCTCGGATATTAAGGACTGGTAGATCGACATTCAGTTTGTTTACGGTCATGATGACAGCTGTACCTCGACGACACTTTACGTCATCCGACTCTTCATGCCCCATCAGATCTCTGACTTGTTCATTGTAAATTTCAAAGTAGCATGCCTTAACGGTGTACTCTCGTTCGCTGTCCTCAGAGATGCGTTCGAAGAGATCCTTAGCTGCTAGATGGATGACTCCGTTTCCCTTCTTCCCGCCTTGCATAGTGTATGATTTGCCCCCTCCCGTTTGTCCGTAACCGAAAATGGTTCCATGCTGTCCATTCAGCACAGCCGACATGATCGGAGTACACATGTTAGAATACAAGGCGTCAGTAGTGTCTTGTTCTTCGAAAACACGATCGACATGAAACATGTTCTTCCCCTCAACTCTGCTTCTGGATCCCTTTTGATAGATGACATCAGTTTCGTCGTCGTCCTCCACTGTCCATGCCATGAATGCCTCAGCGCCCCCTTCTTTCTTTTTCTTGCTTTTGGAGACCATTTCTTCCTTTGTCATGGGACGGAACCTTACAGCAACTGTTTTTGTCATGCATCAGGCAACAAAAGGGTCAGATAAAGAAGCACAAAAGCATCTTGACTGCAAAAAGAATGCTACCCACCTGTGATTCTATCCTTCAGCCCCCCACCAATATCCGAAGCTCGTGGCTTCTTTGCTGGTTTTGCCGGTTTCTTGTCGGGTTCGGGGTTGTAGGAATCTTCTGATGCTTCATCAACGGTATCCAACTGCTGGTAGGGTGTATGGGTTCCATCTTCTCCATCCGAGTCACCATCTTGGGGTGTCCGACCTCCAAATTTCTCCCCAACCTCTTTTTCAACATCCTTATCATTTGTGTCTTCCATTTGTGTGGGCATGACGTATCCCATGGTAGCTGCTGTTAGATTGGTGGGTCCGGCATCTTCCGTCTCTTGTAGATTTCCAGTGTTGGCAGCGTAATCAGCCAGCTTCACCAGCGGTGCATCCGCATCACCAGCGCCTTCCACGGTAGGATCAAATCCAAATTCTGCTTTGGGTTTCGGATTGTAGACATCTTCCGCTATTTCATCTCTCAGCATAGCATCGGTAATGTCATATCCCAGAGCTGCTTCGATCTTTGTATTGAATTGTTGTTCATGAGGGGCGGGGGGCCGAGCGAACTCCTCCTCGTCGTCCTCATCGTCGCGCATCATCTTGGCGGTGCAGTTTGTTGGTTAAGTAGTACGGAATATAAACTAACCTAGGAATATATCACTTCAAAGACCTGCAGCAGTCAAGAAGCAAGTCGGCACCGACAAGAGAGATTGATGATGGAGGAGGAAAGAAAGAAAGCATCTGATAAGAAGAAGACTCCCATCAATCCAAGAAAGGATGCGGAGATCACGGTACAAAGGATACCCCAATCTGTACTATTCTGCTTGCTTGCTAATATCATCTTACCTTTCTATACTGACTACATAAACTGCCTCTCAGGTTTTGATCGGTACAGTATGCAACCCCCACGGAGCTCTGTTGTTCTGCGGTTGGCCCTGTCTTAGCGAAAAATGAGCTGCCCTGTCGACGCGAAGCAGCAAAATAGAGTCCCAGGTGGAGTGCCGAATGGACGCACGAACCATGGTGTGCCAGGAGCCAGTCTTTTTAGGATGTCGACGAATGACCCGATGACGATCTCATCCAACTCCCAACCAACTCAACGTTGCACCTCTCGACTTCTTTAGGCAACCGTCTGGACTTGATTTAGGGATCGTTTGGCGGGAAAGTTAGGTGGGCCATCGATGGAGGATGTGACTTACACGCACCAGTCCGCCATTACAGAAATTAAAAATAGTTTACCGTGCGGAGCAGACCACAGTCCATGCGTTGTGGTGCCACCTTGCAGTTGTCATCCTGTATCTGTCAGCTTCCACTTCTTGCTGGCTGCTAATACCATGAAGCAAGTCATCAGTGGCTAGTCGATATGGACTTCGTGGGTAGGATTAGCTTAACTACTTTAGCCTATTGCTCCTAGCTAGAGGCAACCAAACAACTGCAGTTTGATACGGTAGTCGCAAGCACCCAGCTATTATCGCAACGAGAACTTGACGCCCAACTCGTCAACAGGAATCTTGATAGGCACTTCGACAAATTTGACTTCTCCATTTCTCTTGGTTCCTTTGCCAAAGCTCCATCCATTGAATGCTTTGATGGTCTTTGTCAAGAACATCTTTGAAGTCAGTTCGGAGAGAGGAACCCCGGGACATTGGTGAGCTCCAAAGCCCCCAGGAAACCAAGAACCAAAACCCAACTTTAGTGCGGTTCCCTGAAAAGGGCACTTTGATGTGGAACTACTACTGGTCTCAGGAACCCATCGAGTTGGTTTGAATTCGTTGGGATCTGTGAAAAGTTTGGGATCTGTTTCGCCAACTCTGGGGTCTAGCATGACTGCAGTACCAGCAGGAATACGATAGCCTAGCAGTTCAAAGTCTTCTTCACTGTAGCGGGGAGTTCCACCTCCTGGGGGGATGAGTCGTAGGCTCTCTCTGAGGACTCCAAGTGTTTGCTCCAGATTAGACCAGTAGCTAAATTTGAGAGGAGATGCTCCATCTTTCTTTTCTTCCGCCTGGACCTCCTCCAGTATGATATTCACATAGTCTGGGTTGTACTTGTTGATAGCTGTCATGGAATTGACCATCAGTGATGCAGTCTCAATGTAAGCACCCCAAATGAATAAGACCATTGCTGTGCAAACGCGGTCATCAACCCACCCCTCCCTGTTCGAGACTTGAGTAAAGAAGAAGTGATTTGCTTTGGTGGGGTTCCCTTGTTGAAATTCTTGGTAGCGCGAAAGCATGACTTCTTTGAGTGTTTCCAATGCATACGCTCCCTTTTCCAACTTTTTCTTTTCAAATGGCAAGGCCAAAAGGGCTGAGTTGTAATCCTCAAACATTTGTACTTGTTCGTCAGTTAGGCCTTCACCAGAGAAAATCTTGCTGAAGGTTCGAAGATTGAGTGCCTTGAGCTCGGGCACAAGCTGAATCTCCTCATCTGGTTTTGTCTTGACTCTGTCTACCAGCCCTTCAAGATACAGATCCATGGCCTCATTGATGATTGGCGTGTACTCCTTGAGACCATCCACGCTGAATACACCAGCAAATAATTCCCTGCCTTGCTTGAAAATGATATCATTGGCATCAAGATTCAGTGTTCCCCACTTGGTATGCAACTCCTGGAAGCTATCGGGAAGGGCGCAATGGATTACCTTGGACTTGAGCTCCGTTCCGGATACAAACTCCTGGACAGCTTCCTGTCCACCAATGATGACAGTTGGCTGAAAGAAGACATTTGTGAGAAAGACGTCTCCAAGTTCGTCCGCTCGCTTCCGAACAAAGCGGCAGTTGTTGGACAAGTGGGAAATGCTTTCCCTTAGTCCCCGAAAAGGACCAGGCGACCTGGAAGGTGGCAAGGGCAGTGAGGCAATTCTTGCTTGGTTGGCGGCAACATCGATATCAACATCTTCGGTTGTGCTGTGCAGTGTAGTTGCGAGATGTCTCGTCCTCTTGTTGTTGCTACGCACGACGAGGCCGTTGCACCCAGAGAGGCAAAATAACAAAACTAGAAAGATTTCGGTTGCGATCTTCATTATTCTTGGGATCAATGATTTATGCGCTTGAACTCGCCTGCTCTGACTACGGTAGCCAAACAAGCTTCTATGCATACTACCTATACCGCTTGACATCTATGAGCAAGTATGCGTTTTCGCTTACTAGCAGCACCCTTGTAGTAGCCGCTTGTCTTCCATTTGGATATTGGGTCAATGAGTGGGAGTCAATGAGTCGGAGCGCATCCATCCGCGATACTTATGTTTTCCTTTGTGTTCCAGAGCGTGCGTCATGCAGTACGAGGACTTGGATCCGACGAGTACCAAGTACCAAGGTACCGGTTTTGGTACATGTATGCATACTGTACGTACTGGTACCTGTACCAGTTTATTGTGGTGCCAGCATACTAGTAGCACCAAACTCAGAGAGCTCTCTACTACGGTACTCTAGAGATCTACAAAGTCAAGCTTTATTTCCACTGAGAGAAAGTAATGGATCGACCTGCTACTTAGTAGCCAGTACGCTGCATGTGCACGATATACCGTACACCGGTGCTGTTACAGTACGGTACAGCCGTACCTGATACAGGTACCGGTACCGGTTCCAGTATGATAGCTGCCTTCATTTCATGTCCTTGAGCTTGACAGGTTGCACTCCCCATGCACTTGGAGACCTCTAGTTTGCTTTTTCAGGTAGCTTGGGGCCCTGAACTTGACGTTGATCCTTCCACAAGACAAATTGCATACTGGTACTGTTCTACAACGTTTGCGCCCCACTCCTTGCAATTAGAACTACAATTAGCTTAAAAGTGCTAGCTAGTGGATCAACTATGTCTGGTACATTCATGTATCTCGAAAGTAATCTATGTGATCAAATCCCAATTCTCTCTGATGTCATCATGGTAGGTTCTTCTCGACCTTCCGTCACATCGACTGTGCTGGGTACTGTTGTCGTGGAGGTGTTGTTGGCCACCAACTGATTCTCCAGCCTCACATTGCGGAAGACGAGCTCATGAATGCACAATCTCGCATTGCGTAAATCTCGAGTCATCAACTCAACGAGGCGATCGGCAGCCTCCAACTTTTCCTCTAAAAACCTGGCTCGTTCTTCGGCATCATTCAGGCGGACGTTGATGTCAACATCCTCACCAATATCTGATAGAGGTGAACGGATGATGGTCACCTCTGAAGGAGGACTATCTTGCACAACTCGAATTGTTGGCGGGCGCCTGGAGGATAGATCGCTAAGGGTACTATTGTCTTCTTGTTGGACAGAACGTTCTGCCTTTGAGTCTTGATCACTCGAACGAAACCTATTTTCCAAGAGTACCGCGTCCAGCTGCGAGATATCGTAGAGCTTTCCATTGTCGCAAGACAGATTGTTGGGGCTGGCCACTCGTTCGGGAGTGACCGTGGGCGACGGCAGCGGTGACGGCTCTACACGACAAAGATTGGTCGCGCTTTGTCGCTTTTCGGGTGTTTCCGTGCGCTGTTCACATCCTTCCGAGAGGCTGTTGTCGTTTTCGTCGGTGCTGGTTAAAGGGTCGGAATGACTACTGCTCCTGGGGCTGGGTGTACTGGTGGTGCTTTCAAAGGTCGACGATGGCAAGGGACTTTCCCCTTGAGAGGTTGGAGAAATGGCTCGTTCCACAGATAACGCAACATTTGACGCCTCCAGTTCCGAATGAGGCTCCTTCTGCTGCTGCTCCATTGTTTTGATAGCTTCTTGAGCTTCTTTTAGATCCTTTTGTAGCTTTTTGATTAGGGCCTTGTCATCCACGATTTCATTCACAACTGGTTTCATTTGAATCCGCTTGGCATTGGCACCAAACTTTAGTGTCCCCCTTGTCTCTTCCAAGTTGGCCCTTGCAGGTGTCGCGCAACAGAGGACGGCCAAAACTGCGTTCCCAGAAAGATGTGGCTGCAGAATGCGAGTGAGTTTTGAGTTGCGATAGTTGATGAATTTGGGTCTTTTCTTTGAAGGGAGGCTTAGAGCATGAATGACTTGTGACAAAGAAAGCAAACTGTGATGGAGCCAAAAGTGCAGGAAAGGTTAGACAACACTGGGTACTTTCATTGTATGCGTGCTACTCTAGAGTACCGACGACAGATAGTTCCTGCTCACCTTTGATTGATTTTCCCACTTTCTCTCCTTCTAGATCCCACAGTTGCTGCTTTGGTTGTGTTTTCGCTTCCAGCGAGGTCTACAAAGTTCAAAGCCGAGATGCGAACGATATGATCCGACTCGGATGTCTTGTGATAACGATGATCTGGCCTCTTTCGTTCGCGACTCTCAATGGTTAGTCGAAAGATGGCATGGCTCCGTGACGACGCATCATTGAGTATTGTTGTGGCAACGGCACGGTTCAGATTTCCAGCGTTGAGTAACTTGAGCACATCATCGACGGAAGATACTTGTTTTTTCTCCGAGTCCGGAGCCATGCCAGCCGTGGTTTTGGTCGTTTGTGGTGTGTTGGTGTTGTTGTTGGCGTTGTTGTTGACACTATGACTGCCACTACTGACCCCTTCAAAAGTGAATCGACTGCCCTTGACAGCAGGAGATGATTTGGTAGTTTTGGAGGGAGACTGGCGTGCCATGTAGCTTTTGGAAGGGGATCTATGGTGATGGTGGTTTGCGGACAGGAGGTCTCTGACTTGTTCATTGTATATTTCAAAGAATGATATTCTCATGACGTATTCTCGTTTTCCCGAATCCTTCTTGATGTGATTGAATAGATCTCTGACCGCCAACTGTATGATCCCATCTTGATGCAAGCTGCCATTCTTTCCATTTCCTTGCATGGAGTGTGTCTTTCCACTTCCCGATGTTCCATATGTGAAGATTGTCCCGTGTTTGCCCGTCAAAACCGCTCTTACAATGGGTCTGGCAAAGTTGTCGTATACATAGGAAGTGGAGTGATCCTCCTGAAAGACTCCATCAAAGGAGAACATGTTTTTCCCTTCAGCTTTTCGGCCAGATCCCTTTTGTACCAGGACGTCTCTTCCATCCATTGTCTCTACATTCCACGCTTTGAAGCTATCGTATGCATCATCATTGGATTTGGGTGTGGACGATATTAAAGGGAGATTGCGTTTGGAAGCCAGCACTTCCAAGGGATTCAAAGGGCGAAGCCGAACCGCAACTGTGACAAAGAAAAATGACACTTGTGAGTGAGAACGAGATGCAACTAGCTAGCTATACAGTTGCCTTCATCTATGATAGCATGAATGAACGAATGTGTCGTGTCTCAAGCACTCACCTCTGACAGTCTCAAACTCGTCATCTTCTGAGGAGGCAGCGGCTAGTACAGCAGCATTCGACGAAGTTCTACTTCCCAAAGAGTCTCGATTGCCTCTCGCTCTTGGAATTTTGGAAGGTGTCCGAGAAGAAGAGAGAGGTTCGGATGACAGCGCTTGTACAGGAGGCTTGCCAGAAGAACTACTAGGCGTCTTGAGCTTTCCAGCACGGGCTCGTTCCTTGAGTGTTTCGCTGGAGTCTCTTCTTCCAAAAGTGCGAAAGAAATGCTTTTCATTGGCATGGCTGCTACTCATGTTGTTCATGGAGCTCATGGCCGATAAGCTGACGACTAACCAATCAACAGTTGACTTTCAAGAAACTCCTTTAGTTAGAAGCACTCAGAAGATAGGAAATAGCTTTGTTTATGAAGGCGCAGCTCTCGATCATTGATGATGGTGAGAGAGATGTCTGTCTTTTTCCTCGTGAATGGCCAACAGGCAACAACAGTCTCCGGCTTTGGCGATCACAAAATCCAAAGTTGCTCGACGCGCGTTTTACCTGCTTCAAAATGGCGCCACTCACTTGGTCTGCGTGACTTCACATTTTTCCAACGTTTCCTCTTGCACTCAAGCAAAATTTTTACTGAGGCGGCTACTTTACTGAGTAGAGTGAGTAGACCATGGATACTACCGGTACGACTAGATCTTTTGCCAAAAATGATACTGTTGTCATTGCTACGTTAGATGATTCGGGAGACTCTGCTGAGGGAGACTCGTCCGAGGCGATGAATGATGCTGAAATTATGCCCATGATGAGCCAAGATTGTGTTGTGTGGAATGAGAGTTGCAACAGCGATCTTCGAGCTCGTCAGCAAAAGCAACTGGCAATGACACAGCGGCCAAAGACTAGTTTGAAGCTGCAAAAGAGCGTCCAGAAAAAGAAAGCAAAAATACCGACAGAGTCGCTCATGAGACAAGCAAAGCCGTCGGAAGACCACGAAATCGAATCCATCTTCACCTTGTTGCAAAATAATCACACCAACAGCAACGATGGAGATGGTGTGGCCAATCCACAAGTTCCACCAGTATCAGCAGTCACCGCAGCAATACAAAAGAGCCACGGGAAAACGCTCCAGCCAGTCTTTCCAAAGCCATTGAATTTCAATCGAAATAACCCCCCCCAACCGGTTCTTCTTCGAAAGCGCCATTCCTATCCACCTTCTGCTGCTGCTGCTGCTGTCGCAAAGCCCATCTCCACTCCTCCTTTTTCTAGTGGTACTGGTCAAAACCACAATCGGAAAAAGAGAGCAGAGTCGCTGTGTCAGCCAAATAATACCGACGGAAGACTGTCCAAAATTGCCAAAACGGCAACACTTGGAGCAGCTTCAAGTGCTTCCTCCAAAGCCTCTAATTTGCACGCGGCGACGGCTCCACAAATCTCAACAACAACAATCATTTCACCGGCTCCCACAATCTATCAAAGAAGGGGACAAGGATCCAAATCAATGACTGGTTTTGAAGATCTGTGCAAACAAGTAGAGACTCCTTCGCCGCCTTCTGCCACAGCTGCCAAACCAACTGATACAACCAAAGGGATTCCAGATCGGTCCTTGGCTTCAACGGAAGCCGCTGAAACACCCTACAATGGCACTGCCGGTGTGAATGCCACTAATCAAGGAGCTGCGAATACTAGCCATGGTGCTCGCAGTAATCCACCAGACCCTCGGAATGACAGGGCTTCCACAGCTGGGATGCGTACGCAACAGCGATCACAGAGCGACAAGGAAAATGTGGTTTCAGCCCGTCCCCCGTCCTTGGGGAATCGATCTATCGCAACAACAGCAAAAACCATTCAACCAGGCAATATACGTTCTTCCTCTCAGCCAACAAGAATGCCCTTGCAACAGAAATCCTCACGGCAGGCAAATGCTGCCGTCGCAAATGATTCCAATGTGGTGCTCACACGACAACCAGCAGCGTCCAACACTCTGGCAAGCAAGACCCAACTGAATCACCGTCAAACTCCGGCGACACTTGCTGAAGACAACTTTGATGATGCCTTTGGCGATCTTGAACTGAGTGAAGAAGACCTTGCCAAGCTAGATACATGCACGTCAGCAGGCAACGTGAATACGACTGGTGCCACTGCTGTCCAAGAAACGAAACCTGCCCAAGAAACCAAACCTGCTGTAGCGGATGAATTTGGCAATGATGATGAGTTTGGTGATTGGGAACTAGGAGAAGACGTCTTTACGAGTTGTGATACCCTGGTAGCAGCAACGCAAAGACAGGAGTGCACTCAGCATGCGGCCGCTCCAACACAACAAATGCCAAACGACGCAATCTCGGCCGTGGTCTCGTCCTCGCCTGATGTTTCTTTGGAACAGGCTGAGACCAGCCAAAACGAGACTACGTCCAAAGAAATGCACAACGAGACACATCGCATCACTACCGCTCCTGCAAACACTCTAAACGCGGCCGAGAAGGAAAACGATGATCCCTTCGGAGACTTTCCAGACATTGATTTTGACGCCGTCGATGATGCGGTTGTAGTTGCGACTCAACAACAAGACTGCAATGTTGATTGCTATCCTTTGCAGTGGCCGCCACCGAGCTCTGTCGTACGCAACGCAAGGTCCGAAACTTGGCAAGACGAGACATCTTACCTGTCGTTTTCACGCTACAAAGTCTGCTCTCTGGAGAAGCATGTTCCTACCTTTACACAAGTGTTGCATGTCCAAATATGGGACTCATCTATGCTGCGCGATGTCGATAGGCAGGCAATACACAAGCCTACCGGTAGGAGCGCCGCCTCACGAAAGCCACAAGAACACAGCACAGAGAACATCACCGGGTTGATTGTGCTGAGGGGGTCAAACTACCATTTGGAAGTTCAAGAAGGGGACATCCTGCATTTGTGTTCATTGACTGGAAGGTTCAAAACAGATCCTTCGGCACTGCCCATCATTCTCGATTCCGATCCACCGCCCGGAAGTGACCACGACGGTATGTAGTGTGCCAGACGGACAGTCGCTCTGCATCGATGCTTGCACCTCAATGTCCATTGTTTTGCTTCACAGATTTGGTTCCAATATTGCACCCAGACATGCTTTCAATTCCCACTACTGCCACAGAAGCTTTGGACTGCCCGAGAAGGGCGGTGCTGAAACACCGGCTTGGGTCATCTGCGGTGGCATCAAAGAAGTTGCTATTGGGAACTTTGCGCCACGAACTCTTTCAATTTGCTTTGAAGCATGAAGTTTCAAGCATGGATGCCGTGAGACAGCAAGTGAGGAAGATTGTAAGAAAGGAGTCAGAGAAACTTGTCAGCTGCAAAATGTCTTCCGCTGAGGCAGACAGGGAACTCTTTAGGTTCTGGCCACAAGTGCAGGCTTTCAAACGCGCCTTCTTTCCCCGAAACAATCAACAGCTTGAAAGCTTGGAGGGAATTGGATCGCAACCTCAGATCCAAGCTTCTATTGTTTCTGTCAAGGGCGTCGAAGAGGAAGTAACTTCGCACGAGCTTGGCATGAAGGGAAACTTGGACGTCCTTGTTGAGGCTATCACGGTGCCAACGGGCATGCCCAAATCCCAAACAACAATGGGAATTGAGCTCAAAACGAACCACCATACGAAGACTCAGCATAGACATCTTGCACAACTTGCATTCTACACGATCATGCTTCTTGCCCGAAACGGTCACACAGCATCCGAAAACAGCATCTTGAAGAGGAATCCTCAAAACTTTGATCCGATTGCTGGTGGTATGCTCTTGTATATAAACAGCGAAACGAGGAGAGCAATCCACGTTGCACCGCAGCTAAATGAGATCAAGTGTCTAGTGGAGCAGAGGAACACTTTCTGCTCCAAAGCAGTACAGGCATCAAAACCACGAGGCGTTTCGCTGTGCTATGAAAACGATGAAGACCCACCCAGGTGCGTATGTGTTTCGATCGACACACCCTTAAAGCTCATCAGACAGATGCACTGAACTTTGTTTTCTCTTTTGGGTTTCTCTATAGAGTGAAAGTTGCCGACGCTCCTCCCGCAGATTTGCCCGAATTGCAGCATGCTGGGCACTGCGCACGGTGCTTCTCTGCACGAGAATGTATGGTGTATGCAGCTTCTGGAAGATCCACAGATGTCCGCCGATCACATAAAGACTTACTTGAACAATTCACAGGGCATTTGACCAGCAAAGAACTCGACTATTTCCGCACTTGGGAGCGGCTCATTGACCTGGAAGCTGATGCTACTCATCACTCACTGGCAGAGGCTTGGCTGGAGAAGTCAGAAGTATTGGAAAGGCGAACGGGGAAGTGCATTTCATCCCTCGCCTACTCTCCGCAGCCACCTCAAGACGGAGACTCCCGAGATGATTCAGTTGCATTTGTTGTCTTGGAAAGATCATCCAACTCGAACCTCCGATCAGCGTTTTCGAGCCTTCAACTGCAACCCGGCTCCTACGTGACGTGTAGCACAGATTGCACCACGTTGGACGCGCCCCTTGCTCGATACCGATCGGTAGCATTGAAGGGTCAACGCCGTTTCCGGCATCAAATGAAAGTGTTCAGAGGAACCGTCGAGCGCATTGAAGGCGACGACAGAATCGTTGTTCGAACGTCGACAGATAGTATTGGCCGCTTGGACGACCTTTTGTCAAGTTTTCAGGAGTCCTCTCCCTCTGCGAGCTCGGCGGAATCACAGTTGCTGTTCCGACTCGACCGAGACAACAGCTATTCACTTTCAGGGACGCTACGCCGCAATCTCGTCGATTTCCTCACTAAAGACAGAGAGAAGGTTGACGATCCCAAAGCTGATGCCGAGCAACGAAGGCTTCGTACAGAGAGAAGGTTAGCCCGCCACCGCGAGATGATCATTCAGCTCAAACCGCCAAAGTTCGATTTATCTCAACGCGAAAACATGTTCAATGAGCCCCATTCAAGGGTCAGGGATGTACCTGGCTGCGACATGGCGGACTTGATGATGGAATTTTCCAAATGTAACAACGATCAGAGGTCAGCAGCTCAAAAGGTAAGAAGATACGCCCTCCGCGAGTACCGGTATTGCTGCCCACGATACACTAACAAATCATTTTTCAGGTTGCATCCATGACAGATTACACGATAATTCAAGGTTTTCCCGGGTCAGGGAAAAGTACAACTATTGTTTTTATTGCTCGTCTGTTGGCTTCACAAGGCAAGAGGGTGCTGATCACCTCGTACACCCACAGCGCGGTAGATACTTGCCTTTTGAAGCTAATTGAACACGGAGTTGGAGAACGATTTCGCGATCGCCCTCGTTCACTCATTCGGATCGGGGAGAAGTCTTCTGTCCATCCAGCTGTGCAACATCTTCTTGTATCCCGAGTCGCAGCGGAACTAGAGGCACCGCAGGAACCAGATGGCGACTGTCGTCCTTCGGCTGAGTCGCTTCGTCAGACAATGTCTGAAGCTCGGATCGTGGGCGCCACAGCACTCAAGATTCCAAAGTCGCCGCTCCTGGCCGGGGAACACTTTGATGTGTGCATTGTGGATGAGGCGGGACAAATCACTCAGCCGGCCCTTTTGGGCGCAATTGCAGCTGCGGACCAATTCATTCTGGTCGGTGATCACATGCAACTCCCTCCGCTTGTGTCGAGCGAAAGCGCACTTCAAGGAGGTAAGGAATGCAGATTGAAGCAACATAATGGGATGGCTAGCTAGATGTGATACTCACGTGCTCGGCTGCTGACTGATACAGGCTACGGAGTATCGATGATGAAGAGACTAGCAGATGCGCAACCCGACGCTGTCTCGCAGCTGACGCTACAGTACAGAAGTCACGAGGAAATCTGTGCTCTGGCCAGTAATGCCATTTACGATGGTACGATCATGATGGCTTTGACAGGATCGATGCATGGCACTTGAACTACGCTCATCGCTCTTTCTTCTTTTGTCGACACTCCTCAGGAAAGCTAAAGTGTGCACACGATGTGCCGAGGTTAGCACTCCCGGCTTACCCGCAAGCTCTCCAAAACTTTGGTAAAAGTGCTGGTTGGCTCAGGAATGTCATCAATCCGTTTCGTCCTGTGGTCTTCGCCGACACAGATAATATTGTCCCAAGCAACATCACACCAATACAGGATGGCATTGCACCTCTCGAGCGCACTGGCACCAGGTCGGGCGGTGCGAACATGATGGTGAACGAAACGGAATCAGCTTTGGTTGAGGTAGTACTCCAAGGACTCATCGCCTGTGGCTTGGCGCCCTCGTCGATCGGAGTGATCTGCCCCTTTAATGCGCAGGTAAGGAAACCGTGCTCCTCCGGAACCTCTGTACAAAATCGACCACAGCTCACCCTATCTGCAAATCGACGGCACTTGTGCTGGACACCTAGATTCGACTTCTTGAGGAGAGCCAACAGATAAAGAAGCTACAAAGTGATGGTCTGGAGATCAACACAGTTGATAAGTACCAGGGACGAGACAAGCAAGTTATTATTGTGTCCTTTGTTCGAAGCAACAGCAAAGGTAGAGTTGGGCGTCTTCTGGAAGACATGAGACGGATCAACGTTGCTATTACGCGAGCCAAACAAAAGATGATTCTGCTGGGCTCTTTGTCAACGTTGCGCCGAGGAAGTCCCACTTTGAAAGTTATTTTGGACCAAATCGAGCAGCGGAAGAGGATTGTTTGCTTGCCTTCCTGCACTACAGCAATGCTAAGTTAAAAGAGCTGTTATGCATAAAAGAAAGGTTGAGGATACAGAATAGTTGATGCACTTCTGAGGCAATCAGCCACTCATTCCCTTCAGGTCTCATGTTGTTGTTCTAGCACAATTAAATAATTGTCGCATTGCCTGGGGCAGAGGTCTCAGACCTTGCCCGGTTGCGCCAGCATTTATGCTGATACCGGTACCGGTACACAATGCATAGAGCTGTAGAGCAAAAGAGTACTGGTGCTGAGTACCAGGTACTGGAAGACGCGGTAATTACTTAATTGCACTGAATCGTGTTTAGTCGTGGATGGAATGCCAGCAGTCGCCAGGGCGGGTTCAAATTTTTTGAAAAAGCCAACTTCAGTAGTTTCAGTAAATGTCAGTTTCAGAAACTGAATATTTTCAGTAATTTCAGTAGTTTTCAGTAGTTTCAGTAAAATCCAGTAGACCCCAGTAGATGTCAGTATTCGTGAGTAACACAATGAAGCAGCAACAACAACAAACCCACAATCGCTCGCCACCGATGCATGACGATTGAGAAGCCACAACAATGACATCGACAGAAGCTGCTGTTGCAGGAGAAGACGAAGAAGAAGACAAGAAGTGGATATCGAGTGAGGCAAAAATGTTGCTGCGTCAAGATCTCATCAGTGGTGATATTCCTCCATCCATGGGTGCAGCGGCAGCTTATCAGCGTCGCCCTGAATTTCAGCAGTTCCCATTCAACAATTTCAGCTCCAACTACGGAACGCTCAAGAGAAAAATAGCCAAGGACTACAACCGTGTGGAGTCCGATCTTATATCATATCAATTTGACCTTGCTCATGTGGCTGAGTTACGAAACAAAAACCCTCCTCCTCCCAAAAAGTACCCCGAGTGGCACTCCCATTGAGCTAGAAAACTGCTAAGGGCTGACATTGACAATGATCGACAAGTTGGATTAAAACCTTCAGAGCTATGGGAAACTCGTGCTGAATATCAAGAGTTTCCCCAAGATGTGTTTTGCAAGCATATCTATCAAGAGATCGATGGTCGGGCATCACGGAAAGTTAGATTTGATAAAAAGAAACTCCGCCACAAATTTAACATCCAACCTCGAGATACCGTCTTGCCAGCAGAGTCTGTTGCTTTATTAGAAGAAAGAAAAGAGCAGAATGAATAGAGCCAATATTTAGTAGATGATATCAACCTATTAGTAATCCTCAGATCCACCACCAAAAGTGCTGTCGACTTCATTGTTCAGCTCTGATTGTAGAGCAGCAAAATCTTGATTGATTTCGTGGACAATGCCATCCACTTTGGCATCAAAACTTGAGTGATCGACATTCAAAGCAGACTCTTCTTTCAAACGTTGAGCTTTTGCCATTTCCTCGACTTGTCGGGCACGAGCAATCTTGTTGGCTCTCTTCTTGTCTCGGGCTCTAGAAGCAAAATCAGATCGCTCTTCTCGAAGTCGCTGTGCATTAGCATACCGGCCGACCTTTCGATTTGCATTTTCTGCTGTCTTGCTTGTTGATTGCACGGGCAGCTGGGGCATTTGGTTCATATTTACCTGAAAATTGTTGGAGGGAGCTGACGACATATTTACGTCCGGCATTGGATGAGACGGTTGTTCCGGCATCAGTGGAGCAGTTGGCACTGTCGGCATCAGTGGAGCAGTTGGCGCTGTCGGCATCGGAGGGACGATTGGAGGGACGTACGGTGCCGGTGCTGGCACCGGTTCTTGTGGCACCGGTTGTGGCATCGGTGCTGGCCCTGGTTCTTTTGGTGGTGGTGGTTTGGTAGAGCTAAGCGCTGCAAAGAATGACATTGACGGAGTACCAGCTGGAATTGGCTCAGCATTCTTAGCCGGAGCACTATTCATGAATGATGGAGTTGGCCGATGAGCGAGCGATGGAGCTGGCTGATGAGTGGATGATGGAGTTGCCCAAGAGGATGCAGCCCTTTTTGTTTGATGAGGACTCGCTGTCGAGACAATATCATCAAGCCGAATTCCTAGAAGCAAGCAAAGACAAATCAACAAGAATTATAATGACGAAAGGATTACTCTAGTAATCAGCTTGTGCTCATACCTTCAAAAGCACTGTCGAGCCCCACGTCGTCATCCTGAAACGAAGCCATCAGCTGACGATTTTCCTTCACAATTCGGAGCTGCCAATACAAATTGAAGTACACTTGTTGAACAGCTCGACGTCCAGAACCGGCCACAAAACTACTCGTCTTCTCTCGAATCTTTGCATGAACCTTGACGTCGTGGCGAGGGATGTTTTCGCTAAAGTCTGCAGAGAGCCCAAACCCTTCCGGCATCATCAAAAGAATCTTCTTCAAATACCGAGAGTCATCTGCCAAAATGGCAGTGATTGTTTCAGCCGTCTTGTCTTCAGTCCGCTTGCACCGAGCCTTCTCAGTGCCAAGAACCGACGCATGCTCTTTCAAAAGGTAGGTTGGTAGAGTATTCAGAGTGATCATCAATGCAGTGCCCCCAAGGACAATAAAGCAGGACAAATATTCAAAGTCGCGAAGATCAACAAAAAACGGCAACATCACTTTCAACTTGGTGCCGAGCTCGTGTGCAGAAATTGTAATGTCATCGATTTTCTGAACAAATAGGCCACCGGGGTAGTCTTCGGGAAGGTCAAACTGAGTCATCACAGTTTCATCAGCATACTCACTCGCCTGTACTAGATTCTTGAATTTGATTCTGCCCGTCTGAAGTGGGCCATCATGGCCGGCGACGGTGCTCATGTTGGAACGAGCCGAGAGAGGGGAAAGGAGACCGGCAGGAAAGGAAGTGGTCGATTTTGGGGTTGATGGAACCTCAATCGTCACAGTCTTTGGAGGAGGTGATTTCAAGGGAGTGCCACTGCCTGTCTTCACACTGCCTGCCTTCACACGTGCTGATCGGCGCCGAAAAGATTGGTCAACGGGAGCAAGAATCCTTTCTTCAGATGATGAAGTGCCGTCCGAGTCCTCGTAATTCAAAACCGATCCAAGAATTTCGCTGTCAGAGGAGTCACAATCGTCTCCAACTTTCTTCTTCTTCTTGGCAGACGATGGAGCAGTAGCCGCGGCACCGATCGCAGCAAAGGATCGGTAGTACTTCGTCGGATCTTTCTTTTTCTGCGTGGTCAAATAATTGTGACGATTTTGAGTTGCTTTCTTGTAGTTTCCTCCGTACAGCGCTGGTCGATGCTCAACAAGGTCCTTACAGGACCAAGATGGATGGGCTTCAATATTGCGGTGCAACTGGTTTGACGCTTCCTTTGGGAGTGACAAGTTCTTCTTCCTCGCCATTGCTTCCCCCCCCAAACAGTGTGCTGATCAAGAGAGGACTCTTTTTGCTGCTGAGTTGGAGTATCAAAATCAAGATTCTCTCGTCCCAAAAGATTTGAATGTATATCTTCACCATGTAAACGTTGATATCACTCCTGCCTCTCCTCACGAATTATAAGTAGAGCTTTCAAGCCATGCCGGAGTGGAAAGATGTCACAGACGATGGATTTAGCTGTCATAACCAAACCCAGTGTCATTTTCCTTGGGAGGTAAGTCGGCAGCAAATTTTCTCTCACTTTCAGCTCCAAAGAGACGGCAGTTTGCTTCCCCAAATCAACAAGCAGTGAGCAACAATCTAGCTGGCTAGCTATTTATTTGATCATGCCATCCTCAGTCAACAATGGATCCGAGGATCCATCGCGTGCTCGAATCTTTTCGGCTAAACACTTTCTCAATCTTGGCCTTCGATATGGACGATTTCCTAATTGGAAGAGTTACAAAGAAAGCCGATGTATCCAACGATTCAAGCAACACTTTGGCATGCAGCCACAGACGGTGGCAGATGTGTGGCAAAAGTTGCGAGACAGTGACAATTTAGACATCCGGTTGAAGAAAAACGCCAAGCCAAAAGAGCTTCTCATTGCCATCCGTCACCTTTATAAGTACCACATAGAAGCAGATCTTGCAATGTTCTTCCGTATCAAAACTGAGAAAACAGTTAGAAAATGGGTCAAGCGATACGTGAAAAAGATAGCTCTGCTGTTGCCAGAGCTGGTTGGAACGCTAGACGACAATGATGAGGGCCTCATTTTTTTCATGTCAATCGATGGCACTCATTGTCCAATTGAGGAGCCTCGGCCATGGTCAAAAAAGTGGAGCAGCCACAAGTTTGGAGGAAAGCCAGCTGTCAACTATGAATTGGGCTTATTGTTGCACAAGCCAAAACTTGCTTGGATTCACGGTCCAACCCCTCCAGGCGAGATGAATGATTTGACTGTCTTTCGGAGCAAGCTGAAGGGCGTTCTTCCGGAAGGTCGCCGTTTGATTGCTGATGGGATCTACGCATCCGAGACAGATTATGTGAGCACCAAGAACGATCTTGATCCAAAGGCGCTTTCGAAATTCAAGGACAATGTGCTTTCTCGTCAGGAGAATTTCAATCAACGCTGCAAGTGCTTTGGTATTCTGAAGCACAGGTTCCGACACCGTGGGTTTAGCAAGGATTGGGAACAGCAACATCAAACCGCAATGCACGCGGTCTGTGTGCTCGTCCAGATGCAGCTCGACAATGGCACACAGAGGCTGCTAGATCCTTATTCATAATAGTAGTGTTGTTGTTGTGTTGTTGTATATGCTACTGTAGCTAGCTAGCTAATAGATCGATTGTCATTGCTACTAATGAGTTGCGAGTTTCGTGATTCGATTCAGTCGATTCAGTAGGGTTCAGTGACATCCAGTAAAAGTCAGTAAAAACGACAAAATTCAGTATTTGTCAGATTTCAGAATCTACTGGAATTACTGAATTCAGTAATTTTCAGTTTGACCAGTTTCAGTAGGTTTTCAGTAAAAAATGTAGACCCGCCCGAGGGACAGCTGAAAATCCAGTCGTGCGCTACTAACCACGATTTAGTAATGACCGCGTCTTCCTGTATACTAGCTACGTGTAGCTAGTAGCTAGCTAGAGTATTTATCTGTATGGAGTCCACGTACAGTCCACAGCTGTTTCCCTGACATTCTCTTACTTATGGATAGTCAATTTTCTCTTGGATCCTATATCTCCAAGCGGCCGGTAGCATAAAGCTTGTTTGGCAACTGGTTTTGCCAGCTCGATCTGCATGACGACTCCAAGCCCCACAAGTTGCGTCGTGGTGCGGTGCAAGAGAGCACAGAGTAAAAGAGGACGAACATGCTGTAGACCATTGCTGCCTCCAACATACATTCAAGTTCCTACTCTAGCATCCCACAGCTAATGATATCTCCATCATCATCGTCATCATCATCATCATGGGCTTCACAGAGGATCCGTACCATCTCCCCCCCGATAAGTTCCCTCTGTACACCTGGGAATTGAATGAAACGAGCACGAGATGGGATTATCTCCGAGCCTCCCCCGATGAAAGCACTCGCCGAATCCACTGGACTATCTGGTCCATCCTGCTATTTTTCGTGTCGGGTATCATCTTCCTGGTCTTTTTCTCGGTGATCCTATCTCCCATTCGAAGGAATTCGTTCAATCTGTATCTGGTATACCTCATGGTCCCCGATTTGGTCTTCTCCTTTGGTTGCATGATCATGTGCATCCTCAACGCCACCAAGGGCGACTATTGGAGCATACCCATGTGTTACGCTCAATCCGTCATTTTCATTTTTGGCGTGGCCGGCAATGCCTGGATGAATGCTGTCATTGCCTACAAGCTCTACGAAATGCTCTCCTTTTCCCAAGATTTTCGGAGATTCAAGCCGCCCACGCGAAAGCAAGTCACGCAGCAAGCTTTGGCTGTCTATGCCTATGCACTCTTTGTGGCTTCCTGGGGTGTCTACGATACCGATTGGTGGCCCCACAAATCCATGATTATGAATGGGAATGCCTGTGTACCGGTGGAATACGACACGGCTTCGACCGTCTTTTTTTGGGTCGTCTTCACTCCTGCGGCCATTGGATTGCCCATGATATACGTCTGTTACGTCCTATTCACGGTATGGCGGCGTGGATTGATGCCACCGGCAGGGCGAAGACGCACAATATCCATATACTTTTTTCGATTGGCCGTCGTGTTTGCACTCTTGTGGTTCCCCGCTCTATTTCTGTTGTATATGATTGGACATGTCGTACCCAAATGGGGTGGATGGAGCGGCGGGACTTGGTCACATATGCAAGGAGCCGTATCGGCCATTGTGAGTATCATGAAACCAGATATTCATCAAGCCGTCAAAGATTTGGTGCGCTGTAGACCGTGCTGTGGTGAGACATCACCCGATGATACCCGTACCGTACCGGTACCGTTGTGGCCCAAAGTGGAGAGGGTTCCTCCCGACAATTCTCCAGGGGTAGCAACACTTCACTGCGCCAAAGCAGCTTGCGACGCAGCCTACTCAGACAAATGAGCCACATGTTGGTGAATCAGAGACTGAATATCAGCAGGGACGTGCAGGAACAGGCCGAGCAAGACACTTCCGACCAGTTGAATCGTCTACCCGCTATTACAGATGCAGAGTCGACCAAGTCAGCACAACACGAGTCTGCATTCGAACCGAATGCTACGGAAGAAGCGCTGGGAAAGAAGACGGGAGACGAAGAAGGCCCAGTGTCACTATTCGGCAGAACGACAACTACGTCTTGTATCGGCAATAGCACCAACGACGAAAATGTTCATCAAGAGCAGCAGGTCAAAGACGTTGACGACGACAACCGTAGCTGTCATTCCGAACAGCTTGTTTGGGATTCAGAATGGGAATGAAACATCTCAGGCTGTAAGTTATGACAACAGTCTTTCGTCAAAGGCAATAGCGACCTCTTGAGTTCAATTTCAAAACGAGGAAGGATTCAGGATGAAACCAAACCAATCTGTGCCAAGACATGCTACGCATCTCCTCGCTCAGGTTGTTGCTCTTGTCGATTCAGCATCATCTCTGGGGAACCTTTTATGCAAAGCTCGCTGTCTTGCGCTTGGAGATGTCACTCTTGTACCATGTTGAGGATTGTTGTCCGTGGGATTCTCTGGCATGCTCGGGTACTGATGGCTAGAGTTGGCCATCTGGAAATTCTCAAATGGGCTTGCAAGAACGGATGCGCAGAAGCTGAGCATGGGGATACAACATCACATCATTGATGACCCTGATTACTGGTGATAGGGAAAGTCCCACCATACTGTGTTCTTGTTGTGATATGGCTTGCAAAACCATCTTCTTGCCATCAGGTCCGCTGATGTTCAGCCATGATTCTACTAGCTGGGCATGTAGCAACTTTTATGTTGAGCGCAGTTAGTTGCCGAACGCACCCTCATGGCGGCGTGCAGCTACACCAGCAGACAGGAATGGGCATCTCACAACGACTTCAGGCAGCGGTGACGGAACCAAAGTGGGCATGCACATGACAATCATACCGGTACAACCCAAAGGACCGCACAATAACTTCAGACCGAACTGGACTTGGCCTTTTCTTGAAACGGTAAAATCATGCGGTAACTATACAGGATTGTCCCTACTAGCTAGCAGAGGCATGCAGCAGCAAGTTCTACGGAACGGTACCAGCAATCATTGGTCGTTCTATCTTGTTTGTTCAACATGCACACATAAATGCAGTCAGAAATTCAGTGATTTGAGCTTAGTGGATTGTTTTGTTTTTGTTTTTGTCGACGATATCTTTCTTCTGTTTATGCCGCGACTGCCACCATGGCTGGTCGAATCAATGTTTCACCCAAGACAAATCCTTTTTGGAGTTCATCGCACACAATGCCTTCTTCAAATCCGTCGGATGGGATTTGCATGACAGCCTGATGAAACTCGTAGTTGAATTCGGTACCAACAGTTTCTACCGTGGTGACTCCCAGTTCTTTGAACGTGTCCAAGATTTGTTCGTAGGTTGCTTTGTATTCGGCTTCTACGGCCTCGTCCTCTGGAGATTCGGGCGTGACGGCGCCAAATGCGCGATCGAAATTGTCCATGACACTCAACATTTCTCGTGCCACTTGGACCGTGGCTCTGACATCACCTTGTTTGTTTTGGTTTCCAAGTCGTTCTTGAATGTTGGAGTACTGAATGAATCGAATCAAACGAATCAAACAACAGAGAAGAAGATGATTAATTAATTAATAGTCAATCAGTAATCAATCAATCAATCATAATATATATACATACCTCGGATCGAAGTTTATCGAGCTGTTCTCCCCATTCGCCCTTGCCTTCTTCCACTGCGGCCGTCAACTCGGCAATTTGTCCTTCTGCCTCCTCAATGTCACTCTTCAAGACATCGATTTTTCGCTTGAGAAATGCTGGGGAACTGAGAATGTCACTGGTGCTGTTGTCATTATCATCATTGGACTCTTCTTCGGCTCGGAGGACCGTCATCACGGATCGCACCACCATTGGCTTATTGGAGGGTACCAAGGAAAACGCATTGGCAGAGATCAAAAGGGCGAGTGCCAGCGTCAAGAGGACTTGTTGTTTCTGTAGTAGGAGAGCCATCATCTATCTATGTTTTGTGCTTTGGTTTTCTATGGTAATCTTTTTTCTTTGGTCCTCTCTTTTTGATCTAAATTGTTTGCTTGACTTCAGATCACAGCTGTTCAATGCCATGGCTGTGATGGCCTCCGTCCCTCTTTTGGTTTCTTTCGGCACTGACGTCAGACAGCCCTTACTCCACGTGGAAGTAAAAGTGCATCCTGAACCCTACTGTGAATCCAAACGGTACCAGTTCGACCAGTTTGTTTTCGGATCTTTGGGGGGGACAAATGACCGTCACAAAGTGCCGCTCAAAAGCACACTTGATGCACTTACTTCTGGATACCGGTTGTGCGAAGTGAAAGCGATAGCCACAGATATCAGCAGTGAAAACACAACTAGCTAGCTAGACTACCTTGATACAATACTGTAGAGTACTCGATGCCACGGAACCCTCGCAGTTTGACCCCTCGCAACAGGATGTCCAGTCGTCGTTCGGAGAAGAAAAATGCCTCGTCGCTCCTGGATTCGGCCAAGAATGGAGGAAAGAAGGGAAGTTCTGCGAATGCCGGACGGGTGGTAACCTTTCTCGCTATCCTGGGCTTGCTTGGGATCGCCGTGGTCCTCGTATCGTCCAAAAACGGTGGAGCCAATGTTCCTGGAAATGCCCTGCAATCCATGGCAGTCTCAACGACCAATACCAAGCCAAAGAAACAGAGCGGTCCCATGGCGGATATTCCAGATTTCACCCCCGCATTTACCAAGTACGACAAGTGTGTGGTCAAGTGGACCCCACCACCTCCCAGAAAGGAATGGAACACCAAACCACTCTGGCTTACGTCCTTTCCTGGATCGGGAAGTTCCAGCCCTGCCGGACAAGGAGATATCATGAAACCTCTCATCAACGGGATCACTGGTCTTCCAGCAGGTGCCAAATTCTATCATGCGTCCAGCAAAATACTACGACGATGTCACGGCATCGACGAAACGGCCACTTGTAGCAATGGACATCCCCAAGTCGATATTGGTCCCGAAAAACAAAAGGCCAATTTCTATCATTCCGCCATTATGGTCATTCGCAACATTCGGACCGCTTTTCCCGTATTTCACAATGACAAGGCCATTGCCTATCACGGACTCAAGGGACAAATGCCAGAAAACGAATGGCGGCAGGCACGAGATACCTGGTATTCGGGCGTCTTGACGGGATGGAAGGGGGTCCTGACCACTTGGAAAGCCATGAAGGCATACGATATTGGAATGTATCTGCAATACGAAGAATTGATGGATCCACTACGAGGTCCCGATGCCACTCAACGACTTGCCAATCTACTCCAATCGGCAGGGTTTACAGTCGCACCCAAGGAGGACTTGCCCTGTATTTGGTTTCAAGCCATCAAGGGGGAGTATCTGAGACTCAAGGAATTCCGACAATACGAATATGGGTATACCCTGCAACAACGAGATGCCATTGTCAAGCAATTGGAAGAGTTCCAAAAGGAAATTGTCAATGACAAACCACTCGCCAACATTGTCCAAGAGTATATTGACGACGTTCGAGACAATACTCGGATTGATGTTCCCTTTCAAGAAGATGGATCTTCTGGAAATGCCGCTTGAAGTGCTTCTTCATGGCGATCGAATTTGTTGGAATGCATCAGAAACATTTTCTGTGAGATCCAAAGGGAGAAGAAGAAGATGAAGAAGAGAAGGGATGAAGCAATCACAAACAAGAGCTCGTGCACTGTTTATCAGGAATCGAATCCTCAGTGGTGCAATCATTGCAGTTGCGATGGCAAGAAACTTACTTGACAAAACCTATTGGGTTGGAACGCGCCTATTTGGACTCTCGACTCGCGTCTACTCCACAGTTCCCTGGAGAAAGCAAACTGGCCACGCAGCTGTGCACAAACAACGAACTGGCATTGTACACTAGCAACTTTGAGTGACAGTCATCGAAGGAACCGAAGGCTGATGAGTTATCTGAGGTTTTCGGTATTTGAAACCCGCGTCTAACTTGTTAGTAGGTACTAGCGAGTAGTTTAAACTGTTGTGATTATAAAATTTGGACGTGTGCCTCATCGATGCTGTCACACTAGAAAAGGCGTGTGTGTGCAATCAATCCTTTGTACCAGTGAGAATGAATCAATGCCAGAAAAGAGAAATCGGAGGACCCTCGCTCGCAGGAGCTTTGCTTTGGGATGCATTCCCCAGGGTAACTGGACTTTCCGCACGCTTTTATTCATTCATCAGCCCTTTCATCTAACTGTGCCTCGAACGGTACAGTCTATACTTGGCTGGCTAGAAGCATGTTCTTGCTGTTGTCCATGTTCTGCCTTGAAATCTTCAACCCTGTGGGTGTATACAGACGGTAATTTTACAGACTGACAAACTCTTCGGGTCGACTATCGGCGCATTCCAATTTTCCCGTTGGATTAATAATGTAAAAGGCCACGACGGTTCGTCCATATTTTCGATTGCGGAGCCCAATCATTTTGCCACCCGATTTCAAGTCGTAGACATGCGGGAGACATCCCAATTCGATGGGATATTCAATGAGCACAATGGTATCATCCGTGACCAAGGGTGAATTGCAAACGGCGTCAATCAAGTCTCCATATACGACTTCTTCGTAGGGAGGACACAACGTGACCAGTTGGTAGGGGAGCAAGAGCGGATTTTCTTCGACCACATTGGTAGTCGAAATTCCTGCTTTCTGCAATGCGGTCATGGGGTCTTGCAAGAGTTCCAAGGCATCTGCCTGCACAACTTGTGCCTTGTCTTGTACCCCACACATGTCTAGGTTTGCCTGTATCGTGTCACAACAATCCTGTGCGAGATCGACAAAGGTACAATGCGTGGCTCCTCGACTGAGCGATTCCAGCCCCACCGATCCGGATCCGGCAAAAATATCCAAATGACGACAGAGTGCTGTGGATGCCGCACTTGGTTTGTAGAGTTCCCAGTACGTCAGTGTGGAATAGCAGGCTTCTCTCACTTTACCCATCATGGGACGCAAATGGACTTGAGGACTGCGTAGCTTGCGTCCTCGAAAGGTTCCTCCTAGAATTCTCAGAGGTGGCGCTCCCTTGCTTTTACGGGGATGTCCATCCGTCTTGTAGCCTTGAGGTCGCAATTCTCGACCGCCTTTGGAGGATCCTTCTTCCCGATATTTGCGAGTGGTACTGGTTTTGGGAACGACATGTCCCAAAAAGGGACGCTTGGCCGCAACCTTTTCCTTCCATTTGGGTCCGGTAGAAGAATCGGAGGATGATTTTCGCGTTCCTCCCGACGTCACAAAAAGCGACCAACTTTTCGTCGGCAGTGATAGAATTGGAGGCGCCACAAAGCCAACAACTGGTGAAGGAAACAGCACCAGCAGGTTACATGCAGTACCAACTAACAGAAGAAGAGGTAGAGAGGTCATGATGATGCTGTATTATTGTGCAAAGATCCAAAGAACTGTTGCCGTCACAAGAAACATTGATGGAGAGGAGAGGCATCAACGATCAAAGCTTCTCGAACGTCAGTCACGAAAGCCTAGCTAGTGAACGGATTTCGTCTGGCCGACCTTCCAATTTCGCAGTTTACCTCCTACCCAGTTACTCAAAGAGCTCGGAAGCACGCAATGGAGGCGACAACTCTTCACCCAAGAACGAGGATTTCAAGGCACTGCCAATAGTACAACATCAGGAAAGGTAGGTGGACCATGGCGAAAGACGACGGTGCACCAAATATTTTGGACTAGTTGCTGGACCTTATCTTATCACAGCCATCTCCTCCAATTAAAACATCTTGATTGACTCTCACCTTACCTTTATCTCGTTCTTCTCCCGCATCCCCCCTTTCGTTCGGTTCCCTCTTCTGTTGCTCAACTTATTATTGTAGTAGTTATTATTCGAACGACAACAAGATGGGTATTGACTTGAAAGCCGGCGGTCGCCGCATCGGCCACTCCTCTTCCATGAGAGTGGTCAAGACCGCAAATCCCTACAACCGTCTCTTGATCAAACTCTACAAGTTCTTGGCTCGTCGAACAGACTCCAAGTTCTGTGCCACCGTACTCAAGAGGTTGCACATGTCCAAGGTCAACCAACCACCCATTGGACTCGCCAGACTGGCCAAATACATGACCAACAAGGACGGAAAAACTGCCGTCATTGTCGCAAAGGTCACCGATGATGTCCGCATGATGGAATGCCCCAAAATGAGCGTCTGCGCTCTGGGATTCACCGAAAGTGCCCGCAAACGAATCGTCGCTGCAGGAGGAGAATGCCTCACATTCGATCAGTTGGCTTTGCGCAGTCCAAAGGGAGCCGGCACTGTCCTTTTGCGTGGACCCAAGAATCGTGAATCTCTTGCCCACTTTGGACACTCCACCTCGGTCAGCAACCCGCACACCCACGATGGTGTCAAGCCCTACGTCCGATCCAATGGACGCAAATTCGAACGTGCTCGTGGTCGTCGTAAGACTTGTGGTTTCAAGGTCTAAGCAAAGAAACAGAACAAACAAATTACTTGCTTGGTGGCTCGGTGTTGTTATTACGTTGCGTTCCATTGCTTCCCGCATCCTACTTCTTTGATCCCGTTCTGGACGGTAGTTGGCAATAAGACTACTACGACTTGGACTTTCTTCTAGATTGATTAACAAACAACTAATAGTAACAGCCAATGCAACATTTTTTAGTTTAGCAAACGCTGGCATGTATGTATGAGATGCTGCATCAGTTGTTCATCCCTATTGTATTCCCCAACAGTAGCTGCGCGGGAACCTTCAGCTAACTCGTTCTGCTCCAGTTCTTCCCATTCACCGAAGAGAATCATTGCTGTCATAGATTGATTCGTCGTCTGAATCCGAATCCAACTCAAACCATTTGTCGTCTTCGTCACTGTATCACCACTAAAAAAGCAGGGACTTTGTTGGTGATATGAAGAAACCAGGAATGTTGAAGAAGTTGACTGGACTTGCCGTTGAATACCGGTATGCTGATCAACACAAGAAGAGTAACTCTGTGCAAGGGCACCATGGAGTACTAGAGCTGCTCTGGGGGGCCCATCACAGCAGCTGCGGGACCCGCGGGTACCATCTCGCTTGATATGGTATTGCCAATGGATGCGAAGCACAATAGGGTAGCACCGGGGGGCTTCGGAATAGGCTTACCGAACTGGTCTAGCTGTTTCTTTTCAGCTGCTTTCCATTCAGGCCAAGTTTTCAGCTTCTTCAGTTTTCTTCAGCTTTCTGTAGCTAGCCAAGTGAACGAAACAAGAGCCTGTTCCACACCAGCGGTTGCCTTGGATCGACTGCAAGAATGGAGCAGCTCGTGTCGGCTTGCCGCTGGCTGTAGATTATTCTGCTTTGATGGTAACAGCTCCTTCCTCTGTCACAAGCATCAGAGCGATCTCTGCGTTCTGTAGTTCAGAGGTGGAGTACTGATCATGTTTCACAGGTGCGAACGCGTGGAAGTCCCTTGATTGTATTATTCGGGCTGAGTGCCCGACTGGCACTGCTGGTTCGAATTCCGCTCCACTGTCATTGGCATCCAAAAGCACTGGTTGATCATCATGTTCTGGCTGTTGTGGTTTTTCATCGCCCTTGCTGGTACCAGAAGGAATGATAGTCACATCGTCAACATACCGGGAGAAAGCACAGCCAGTCTCCACTTGGTGCTTTTCTGACCATTCCGCACAACCGGAATTATCAAGAATTGATGTCCAACAAGTTGGGGATACACTAGAACCTTGAATGAGGTTTGCCTTGCAATTTGCACCTCCCAGGAGAGCGGGCTACGAGTATGTACCGGTATTAATTAATACCATAGTACAGTGCAGTATTGGACGGCAAATTCAATAAGTTATTAGATTGGACCTTGATTTACAATGTATGTGTTTGAGCCCAATGATCAAGACATAATCTGGGGATATCCTACAACCAAACATACAATGCTCACAATATCTGCAAATGCAACCCGTTTCATCTTTGAGTTCAAATTCTTCCACTTGGGCATTGTGAGTGCCAAAAAAGAAACATCGGATACCAGGGTCATCCCAATGGCCACGGGAAGGCTAGGACGGTGGTAAAAGGTTCCTAGAATCAGGCCAGCCCCCAGAGTCCCAAACATGGCAGCACGGTGCTGGAGAGCAATCAACAAAGTAGCGCTGGAGGTGTTATCCGTGTCACCACCAACAGATCGTTCTGAGAATCGAATCCCGTAGAGGCGTTCCAGGGCTGATGCACCTAGGATTCCAGGGAGTGGCAACACATGGATAATTGCAGAAACGCTAATGAAAGGGATCGCAGCCGATTGTGACTGAGATCTCGATGTTGCCATGGTTGCCGTCAACCTGAGGTATGGTGGTATGGTAGCTTTGGAGTTCCAAGAGAACAAAGCGCCTCTCACCTTTTACAAAAGACCAGCGATGTCATGATATTGCTTAAAGCTTTGAGTACCTGGAGCATTAGATCTCTCGGCTGTATCCACGAATGGGAAGATCTGAGTACTGGTATCGGTACAGTACCGCACGAGAAACTACCTGAAGTCGCGGTGATGGTCGCTATCGGGCCCAACAATGTACGGTATATGCAAAAGGATGGATTGATAGCTGTCCAGCCCGTCGAGGCAACTCACTTTCCGACGTCGGACGGCTATCTTGACGTTTCCACAGCAGCGGTGAAGCGCTGCGCATACAGTTGTCTTAGACAAGGCTACTTTACATGTACGAAGTGGAAGAAGGTTTGAAGGTTTTTGTTAATTGAGTTTTTGTCATTTCTAATATCTTTATTGAAGCTACTTTATGATTGGTTTGTCTACAGTCTGCCGTACCTGCGAAAACTAGAAATCTGGATTTCGTCGGCGTCTATTTACCATCTTTAGGCGAAACTGCTCCCCGTCAGCGTTTGCAACTATTTCGAACGTATCTCCGTATCGATCCTCCAGTTGTTGGCCTTCTTGGAGTGGAAAGGTCACAACACCCGCTGTGAAGATGCTTCCAATTAGATCTCGCTGCAACCATACGTTGTCCAATGCTTGGGCCGCGTTGGCCCTCTCGATCACGTTGAATTGCATGAGATCGTTACGCATAAAGTCGCGGAGGTACATATCCACAAGTTCTCCTGCCTGGGTTTCGATTGCCTTGACTTCCTTGAGTGCTCGTTTCACGTAGATGTGAGCATCCTTAGCGCTCGTTGTCGACCCAAGCTTCTTCATCCAAGAAGTCGGATACCATTCCGGGGCCCAAATTTGAAGCAACGTGCAACCGAACGCCCAGATATCGGCTGCCTTGCTATCAAAAGCCTCGCGGCCGAACATTTCCGGGGCCCAACATTCTCGATCACTGTGAAGTTGGCCTTCACCGTGTTGTTGCTTCTCATCCGCTTGACGACTGCAGCCAAAATCGCAAAGACGAATGTCACTGGCTTCGACGCGATACGAAGAGGAGAATCGGATCAGAATGTTTTGTGCGTGAATGTCTCCGTGGCTGACTCCATGCTTGTGCATGTGACAAAGAGCGCCTAGAACGCCCATAGACACTTGCTGCAAGAAGTCACCCTGTACATCGGCCCAACACATGTTGGGACCATCTAGAAATTGTCCGATAGTCTGATCGGCTAGTTCTTGCACGAGATAAATGAAATGTTCTCCGTGAAAGACTCTATCTAGACGAATTACATTGGGATGACTAGAGAACTTTCGCAACAATCGACACTCTTCGTTGGCTCGCTGCACGCCAGCAAGAGATGTCATTTTCTCCTTGTCCAACAGTTTGATTGCCACCTGCATTTTCTTGCTATTGGATCGTCCGAGCCGCACTTCTCCAAAGGCTCCCTTTCCCAAAACTGTCTCTAGCGAATACTCATCCACATGTTCGCCACGGACTTCCTCGAGATGACCATCGACTGGGCCGATTCCGTTAAACTTGTCTGTGACAGTGGGAAGGTAGGAGAAGAGAACGTTTCGCAATTCGTCATCGACCGTTTCCATTTCCTTGGTGAGATACCCCACAAAGTTCTTCTCACCTCGCACATCTCGTTCCAGCCGCAATCGTTCTTGGCGCTCTCTTGCGAGTGCTTGTTCGAGTTGTTGGCGACTAGGACGCTTTTGACGACGCTTCTTGAGAACGAACGATGGACGGCGCGACGATGACACGGTAGTGCTCATGGTCGTCGAAGCAGAAGAAGACGAAGAGCTCTCCTGCATGTTGTAGGCACCTGTATCCGCCGATTCCATGGAAGAACCGTTGGTAGCGTTGACACGAGCGATGCGTTGGTTGTTGTTGCGTGAACGACGGAAGAGCTTCATCATGGTGTCTGTTAGCAATAGGTTGTTTTCTCGTGCAATGAACAATAATGAGTGTGTCGACAGTAGTTTGCGAAATTGTGAGGCAGAGATGAGACCAAAAAATGAGGGTGTGAGCGAAGGCATTGTGTCATCGTGGAGGAGAGCGACGGAGAAGGACAGTGCAGCGTGGGGATTTCTGTTGAAGGCCGTCATCGTGGACGTTCCACGCTGAGATCAGCGCGTGGACCCGACAGGTCCACGCTGAGAGCTTTTGATTTTTCAGTCCAGTCGTGAATGCTACCGGTACCTCTTCGCTGGTCAGCCAGTGCCCGAACAGCACCTCCGAACCAAGCAAGGGTGGCAATGATACAAACACCGACGAAAGAAGAGTTTTGTTAGGAGAGCTCACGACTTCAGGAAAGGAACGGGAGGAAGAGCCCTTCTAGAGCGAGAGAGCACGAATTGAGGCTGCCTTGGTAGGCACGACAGAAAGCTCAGGATAGATACCCCAGCCAGCAGTGGAGGTGTGAAGTGGATTCGCTAGGTATCTGGCTACAAGATTGCCTCTCGTGGTGTCTTATTAATCCTTGGAAGATGGCGACCTACTACGATTACGGCGGTGGAGGGAACCAGCAAAGCGGGGGAAGTGCTGGAGGAGGTGGTGGCTACTATGGTGGTTCAGGCTTCGCTCAACAGCAACAACAGCAGCAACCTGGTGCAGGGAGCTATGGTGGCTATGGCAATCCACAGCAGTGGCAACAACAACCCGACCAAATGCAGCAACAGACAGGTGGATACTCCAACCAAGAACAGCAAGGGTACCCTGGCCAACCGCAGCAGCAACAAAATATGTGGAATCCAGCCGCTGTGGCTAGCTTTGCAGCGGCGGCTGGTGCCATGAACAATGACGCCATGTTGGACATGGCGAAGCAGGGAGCCACCAGCTTTATTCAGAGTAGGACAGCTCAAATGATTCCAGGGTTGGAGAGTGGAATGCTCATGCTTCGAAACTATTTTGCAGTCGACAACAACTATGTCAAATCGAAAATCCAAAAGGTACTATTTCCATTCCGATCGAATCATTGGAAACGATTGGTAAGATATTATTTCTCTGATTTGTGGTGGATTGGCTTGGGATTTGGGATAGATGGCATGTTTGTTATCAAGATATTGCGTTTCTCACCTGCCCATTCATGTTTGAAAAATGTGTTAATTTTAAAAAACAGCAAAAGAACCCGCCCCAACCAGATTACGCACTTCCCAATGCGGACGAGAATGCTCCTGATCTGTATCTACCGGCCATGTCTCTGATAACCTACGTGCTGCTGTGCGCCCTCTGCTACGGCACTGCCAAACATTTCGATCCAGAGGTGATTCCAGATGTAACGACAAAATGCTTTGTGACGCAAGTCTTGGAGGTTCTGGTCATTCGGGTTGGTTTCCATCTGATGCAGGCCGAAATCCCCATTCTCGACCTGTTCAGTTACACTGGTTACAAATATGTCGGACTCTCCATCAATATGTTTGTGGGTCTCTTGTTGGGTCACTTAGGATACGGTCATCGAGCATACTACATTACGTTCCTGTGGACCGCATCCGCCATTTCCTACTTTATGCTCAAGACAATGGCCAACAATATTCCAGTTGTGACGGCGGCCACGGGACCAAAGCGAGAAGTCATGGTGGTGGCATTTGCTGGTTCTCAATTTGCAACAATGTGGTTTGTGAGTCAAACCAAATTCCTCTAGCCGCTGATACTAGGGCCTGGTGGGTGCCGGATCATCACTCGTTTGAGAACAAAACAAAGCCTAGACTGAACTATAGTTGCCTTTCAAAACCAGTACCAGTAGTAGTAGTAGATCTACCGTACCGGTATGATACTGTAGTCATCAGCATACTACCGTAGAACATCAGAGTAGACTCACATGTAGGTTTTATGTAAAATGTTCAGAGGCGTGCAGACAAGATGTGGTTGGTGGAACTCCACGACCACGGAGAGTGGTCTCGTAGTAACCGGTTCTAGCTATCTAGTAGCATTGTCATAATGATTCAATCTTTAAAATGTTAACGTGCAGATACTTTACAGGATGTTTAGTTCTGCGTCGAGTACGGCAACTAGATAATTATACATGACACGTTCGACGCAGAGACAAGCAAGCCAGATGTTGTAGAAGTAGAGAAGGTTCAGCCTAGTCTACGACGTCAACCTGCATCATCACATGCAAGTCTCCCACTGCAGCAGCAACAACGTCACGTATGTTTGAAGGTTCGTGTGTTGATTGCTTGGCATTGTGCTTTCCTTCACTTCCCACGCATATTCGTGAGAGTGCGCTGCAGTGTTCCACATGGCATTCTAGCATTTGTCCAGTGACTTTCAACTGTGGGCTCCCTCCAAACATTGAACTAACTATGGTACCATGTCTCCCTCATCCTGTGAATCGTCTTCTGAATATGAACCCGCTGGGTCCCCATGGCCTTCTTCGCGGTATACCGGTTGCTGCATTACATGTGTGCCGCCATTGTTCGGTTGAGGGATTGCCGTAGTTATCAATGGGTTCTTGGAAGACAGAAAAGCTTTGGAGGTGAATCTATCAAAGCAAAGTAAGCCAAAGATGATGTATGCTATAGCACAAAGAGCCCTTTGATACCAAACGAAGGAAGAAGTGGGGGAGAAGGCAAGTCAAAACAACTTTGAGATTGGATGATGGATTCCAAACAAAGCACAATTCACATATAGCGTACACATGGAGTTTGCTTACAGAATATAGGATGTGACTTGCTGGAACGCAATGGCACTGTAGGGTAACTCGGCTGCTTCTTGTTGCAATTGGTACGAGTAGTCGTCGGTCGCTGCATTGTCGTCGGCGGCGACATAGTCGTCATCACCAGCAGCAGCATCGTCGTCATTATTGTTGCCGTTGTTGTTGCCGTTGCCACTGCTACTGGCATTGGAATAGGAATCGGTAATGGGATGTGCTCGGGTCAATGTGGCAATGAAGAAGAGCAGCATCCCACGAGGCACAAATCCCTTCAACCCAAGAAAGTTCTTGGAAATCTTTGCAATGTCGAATTCGACTCCGATGGCCAGAACAGTCAAGAGCAATCCATAGACTCGAATGATAGTGTCACGTGAGCCTCCAACTTGTGTTCGGATTGTCTCGTTGGCAAAGATCTCGAGAAGACACATGTACATCAGGTCGGCCGCTATTGTCAAGACGAGAAAGGAAAGAGTGATGGCTTTCAGCACTCGCAGGATCCCCAGCATCTGCCTCGGTGTCACGAATGTGCCGACAAAGTCAACAATGACTCTTGTCAAAGATGCACAGATGGAGTTGTCCTCTGGAGCAATGTCGATGTAGTTTGTGTTGAGCCTGTCGTTGAGGCTGGCCGCGTTCGCTGCTGTTTTCATCAGAGGTTGTTGTCGGCTGTTCCCCGTGGTGTACGGGCTTTGCGGGTGGTGACCATAAGGACTCGAATTCATCTTTCTGGTGCTTGCTTTCTGTGAATTGAATGCCTGCGTCTATTGTTGATATCTGATGCTTGAAGGCTTGGGAATAGCTTGGGTGGCTGTTGGCCATGGAGAGAAATATCGGAACAAGTGGTGATGCCTCGGATCTTGACTTGGAGGCCAGTTTGTGGCGATGGGTCAACATCGGCGTCCTCGAACACGTTTTGGTCATAGCGGTTGGACCGTTGCCTCGTGAAGGTCGATGCTTGGAACGATAAGGTTGAGGATAAAATCTAGTAGGCAAAAGCCTGCACTCCCTCATCACCAAAAGGGAAAAATATCCACGGTTGAGCAGTGAGGGTGCCAAGAAGTTATCATTCAGCAGGGAAAGTGGCTCACCAGATACCGTAGATGCTGCCATCATTGCACCAAGAATACTCACCAAACTTGAAGGGATACGGGCATTCGGGCAATGGCCAAGTCTCACAGATGCGGGCTCACCAGATGCTGCCATCACCCACCAAAGGATATCCACCAAAGGGAACTGGCATTCATCCATGGCCAAGTCTCACTCTCTTTCATCCTAATTGGACAAACCCGCTCGAGTGAACCGGCCCTACCAATATGAAACTCATCCGTGCCCTCCTTTTCCTTTCAGCTACCTTGCTTGTAGCTGCATCCGAACAACAAAGAGAAGACAATGTCCAGACCACAGGTGTTCTTCGCAAGCTCCGGACAAGTGACACCTCCCTACTACGTCAACAATTTGGTGGCAGGCCACAATTTCCTGGCGGCCCTGGCGGCAGGCCAGTACGCGGCGACGAACGTGAGGAGATAGAAGGAGAAGGCGACTCGCAAACTGGATCTGAGGAAGATGGTGGACCTGGACCCGGTGATAGAATTCCTCGTNAGCAGTGATAGCGAGGACCCACCAGAAGGTCGCCCAGTGCGTGGTCCGCCACCAGAAGGTCGGCCAGTGCGTGGTCCACCACCTGTACCTAGTCTAGTTGGAGCAGGAAGTGGAAGCGACAGCGATGATAGCAGTGATAGCGCTGACGAATAAGCCAAAAGAATGGTGCTTTTCGTGATGCACTCTTCCTGCGGTGCGTGTCTTTGCTTCTGTTTAGAATGAATAAGATGGGCGGTCAGTGGGCGAGTCAAGAATAATGACTTGATCTCAGACGCAAGAATGGTAGGCAGTGGTAGTACATGTAGCTGCCGTAACAATGAAGTAAACCTTGCAATATCAATGCGTTCATTGTTAGCACAGCCAATGTTCAGACGAAACGTAATCTCCGCAAGCTCCAGGCAGGGAGGGAGGTGACACCGCCAGGCAATGTGGTGGTGTAGACGATGGAAGCTGTGGCAGGCAAGAAGGTGACGGGCAAGCAAGCGGTGGATTTGATGAAAGAGGCGACAGGCCACTACCACAGGTCGTGGTGTCGGAGGAAGGTGGTAGTCTAGTATGGGAGGACCAATGGGAAGACCCGGGCTATAAATCCATCTCCTCTGGAAGCCATGCAAGATTTGACGAATATTGACCAATTGCTTACCACTGCAGAGGATGCATGTTGTACATGCCGAAACATTGAACAAAGACGCCCAAGCTGGCCTTGGTGATCTCCGTTCAAAGCTGATGGCCTTGATGAGATAATCCATTGGGCCAACGGTTCTCTAGCTGGCTCGAGTGGATACCGGTACGGCACGAGGTACCGAGATTGGAAGACCTCTACTATTCGGACAATGGCATCCGAGATGCAAGGTCTGCTATTGGGATGATGTGCTGGTTGCTTGCACTGAGCCCAATTCAAAGGAGCCGGGCAACTATTGTTCCGGGACTTGACAGAATAGATTTCTTGAGAACGATTTCGAATGAATCGTTACCAACAGGTGAGAAAAATGCATGCCCTTGCTGCATCATCTGCAACAACACTGCTATCAATAGCCCGCCAGTAAGGTAAGGAATACATACCACTGTGCATTATTGTTTACTGTTATGTTCGTACTATTATTAAGCTACAAATCATCAAAATCAAGTTCCTTGTCAAAAGTACCTCCAGTGACAGGAACCGCAACATCCTTTTCCTTGATGCCTCTAGCAGCTTCCCGGTCGATGTACTTGATTCCGTCCTTGGCCGCCTTTTCTCCCTCCTCATATTCTCCTGGGGCAAGATTTCCATCCTCCCCCTCGGCATCTTCCATTTCATCATCAGGTCCGGCATCCAATGCCAATGCATCCAACAACTCTTCCAAGCGGATTTGTTGATCATCATCATCTTCGTCATCATCCTCGTCGTTCTTTGGTTGTTGCGGTACTACTGCACTCTTGTAGAGGTTCATATTTTGTCGCATTTCCTTATCGGCTTCCACCTCTTGCATAAAGTCTTCTTCGTCCATATGATCGGCTTCTTCTTGATTCTTGGCCGCCCGTGCTTTCAACGACAAGGCAGTCTCGGTAACATCTACATCCAACCGTTTCAATTGCCAGAGACGCTTTTCTCCTCCATAGAGTTTGCGAATGACAACGACATCGGGCAATTTCCCGGCTTGTCTCAATTCTTCGGCCTCGTCATGTACAAATTGTGCCTGTTTCAAGTCGTATCCGGCAGCAACATCGCCCGATTTCATGAGATACCCGACATGGGATCGATCCTGATACTGGACATCGTTGACGCCCAAGTCATCCTCTTTGGCCAATGTGAGTTCGGCCAATTTGCTCTTTTGTTTTTTGGACGTGGTTCGTTTGGAGACATTGCGTCGTAGGACAACGGGTTCTTTTCCCAACACGACAAAGCGTGTCATTCTGGATCGTGCGGCCGTGATGATGGGTCGCAAGGGGTCTCTCCAGTACTGTTCGGCATTCATGGATGCGGTTTGTCCCGAGAGAGGATCAATGAAGTGAATGAGATTGGAAATGTTCTTGACCAGTACCAACTGTGAGATGTTTCCCATATTGCGTGCCGTCTTGGCGGGCAAGTATAGGAGATCGTCTTTACAGAGAGTACAAATCTCGACCAAATTGGTGTATTTGAAATTGGAAACATTGGATTTGTCGTCGGTCCCAATTAACTTTTTGGAGCACTTTGTTTTGATGGGAACCACATTTTCCAAAAAGCAGATAAATCTGGCAGCCTTTCCTTTGTCAGGGAAGTAAAAGTCCATACCATCCTTAAAAGCTTCAATGGATAAACACCCACGATGAGCCCCGTGTTTGAGGATGAGCTGTTCGAGGTAGAGAAATGTCCGTTTGTGTCCGACGCGTTGTCGCACTTGTACGAGTGATTTCCAGGTTCCTTGTCGAAATTCGGCGGCACAATCGACGCACTGTTGATTGCGGACAATGAATTCTACGAGAAAGGATTGTTGCAGAATGGTTCCCGCCTGCACTTCTTTTTGTACGGCGAGTCTGACTTTTAATCGCATGGAATGAGGTTCGGTCCAGATCCACGAGGCATCGACCAGTCGGACCCCCTTGTCCGCCTTGCTTTTGGCTTTGAGTCCACTAATGTTGGCGAGACAGAGTGACATTAACTCTCGCGACTCTAAGTCGCATCCCATCCATTTCCCGGCTCCTCGATGCCATCGACGACATCCCCGGCATTGATGCAAATGGACTTCGGTGGAAATCCCGCGGGTAATATCCGATGTAGACGCCAAGCAGGAGGCGCAAGTGTTGGCAGCATTGGGATCTATAGGAATTCCACAGACACAGCAAAGCACTTTCACCATGGTGGATCCAGCGGGATTATTGGTACTGGCAGCCATGGTGGTCGCCATCTTTTTGATAAAACTCGGAAGTAAATAAATAATGAGGAAGGATGTGTTGCGAAAGGGGTTTGTTTTGTTCTGAAAACTTTTGGTTGGCGGCTAATGGATGCACGAATGAGCAATTGGACTCATAACCGCTTCAAGAACTGAAGGATACCCAAACGCAAAGATCCAACACCCTCCCTCAATTGGCATGAACATATATATGTCGGTATTTCTTTGGTATCTTCTATCTCTTATCATCATGATGACCATGTACCGATACCATCCCGTCCTCTTGCTATCATGCCTTTCCTCTGTGCATGTGTGGAATACTGTAATGCCAGTGGACGCCTTTTCTCCTCTGTTTTCTTCCTACAAAAGATCAGAAGCTACCACTACGCCAAGTTTCGGAACATGGATGAATGCCCAGCAAGAAGATACTGACGGCAACGTACTAGTGCCGCAATCTTTTGATGAAATTGTCCTGAGACGAACTGCTTGCAAAAAATTCCAACCATATACATGTACTACTAGTAGCAACAACTCCTCTGCACAACAACCATTGACAAGCAACCCCACCGTGGTACAACAAGCACGCCATTGTCTCCAATTGGCCCAACATGCTCCTTCCAGTTTCAACACACAACCCTACAAGATCATTCTCGTACATTCTCCCGCACAAAAACAACAATTGGCCAAATACGCGCTAGGACCCAACCAACAACGAGTACTGGATGCCGATTGTACGGCCGTCTTTTGTGCCGATCGACAAGTACTCTGCACCCTACCCAAGTTCCTACGATGGCTCAATCAACAAGACTTGCAAACACGAAATCAACCCACACCCAAAAAGATTCAACTTCAAATGGCCGTCTACATTACCCTCTTTTCGTCGGGGTATCCATTGCCTCGCATACTCGCGGCACCCATTTCCTTCCTGGTCCGAAACATATTGGCACTCGTAGGATGCCTCGCACGATGGCTCCGGATTTATGTCTTTCCGTCCTTGTCTAGTGCTGAAACATGGACCGTCAAACAGTGCCTACTCACCGCCATGACGTACATGCTAGGGTGTTCCAGTCGAGGTCTCGATACAGCTCCCATGGAAGGAATCAATGCCGCTGGGATTCGACGAGTATTGAAGATTCCCAAACGATATGCCATTCCACTCATTATTGCCACGGGAACCAGGGCCAAACAAACAAGTAAAACAACAACAACAGCCACACCGAGATATCCCACAGAGGACATGATATTCGACAATCAATTTGGTACAACTATGTAGTCTAGCATGGTCGATGACACTGACTGACAAGGAATGAAGGAATGAACCCATGGGTTTGAATTGAAGATTACTGATTCAAGTCGATTGTTGGAACACAGGAAATACACTATTGAGTCTTCTTGTGTGTCCATGTTTCGATGAAATGGTCGATTGACCCGCATACCTCTTGCGTCCAGGCTTCGATAAAATGGTCGATTGACCTGCATACGTCTGGCTAGCATACCGTACCGTAGGGAGCACGCATTTCTGCATGCTGTGGTCATTGACCTCTGACATACTGAACGGTACCAGTATACATTTTGTGGCGTCAAGGACATTCTGGTCGAGCACCGAGAACGTTGATGCACAGTCTGCTCGAGTCAAATCAGACAATACTCTCAATAGAAGCTTGGAGGTCTCGACTGGAGGAGCCGAGTCCGCCCTGGTAACATTTCGTTCAAATCACCTTTCAACTAAACGATCGTGTCATGTCATGTAGATTGACTCCAACCTGTAGCTTTCTTGCCAACCTTGCGGCATGTTGTGAGGATTGATGCCTTGGTATCCCAGAGTCTCAAAGTCTTCTCTGTGTATCTCGTTGATCAGCTCAATGGTTTCATTGGACAGGTCTCCCACACCCATTCTTCTACTCCGCTGTCGCTGTTGCTGATTTTGTTGCGTCTTGTCAGTTCCAGCGTTGACATGCTCAAGGGCAATGTCCAGATCATACGCTTGGAAGAGTTCGTGAACGTGAGACGTCAAGTTCTCAAAGAAAAGGACATGATCCACGACCTGGACGATTGGGCCTTCTTTGGTCAATGAGCCAAAAATAAAGTGCGACTGAGGAAGCAAATGCAAATCTACCGGATCTTTCTGGTATTGAAGAAGCTTTTGCTGCAGAAAAATATTGAGTGACTCTTGGTTGTGTTCCCCTTCATCAGCACTTGTGTACCCACTCCATGGACAATAGAATTCACTAATCATTCTGGCATAGGGGTTTCGGACAATGGCAAATAGATTCTTGTTGGAGTATGGATTCTGTTGAGAAGGATTGGGCCCATTATTGTTGTCGTGTTGATAGAACTTGGCAGGAGGTTGATGCCAGCACTGACCCGGACAGAACGGCCATCGACGCGCCCTTTGGCCTTTGGCAAGCCGGTTGCATCCTGGATAGTCCACCTTTTGATAGCTGGGAACGAGAAATGCTGGTAGGTTTCGAAAATGGCACAATCCCCACGTAATGTTCTGTCTTGCAGCGGCAACTTCAATGGCGGTGCCAGATGTCTTGGGTATGTGAACGAACTCTAAAGCTCCTTCCTTTCGCTCTCTCGAGATGTGTACCGGTACCGTGGGGATGCCCTTGCTGGTCGTTTTTGTTTTCTGATCTTGTGGATTATCTGTCTTCAGAACCATTCCAGTCATAGACCTTGCCATTTGCTCCACCCGAGGTTGCCTGAACTGCCAAGACATACATTCAAACGTTGTCAAACCGACTACCAATGCTACCAAGAGTTGAAACTTCGAAACACTGCCTGATTTTTGCCTGCATTTTTGAGCCATGATGATGAGACTTTTTCTCTGCTCTTTATGACATAGCAATCGAGCAAGTGGCTGTTTGGTTTTGTGAAGAATTGATGAATGATCATTGTCTTGAGCCTTCAAGCTGTCCGAAAACAAAAATGAAGGCCAGGCATCCCCTCCCACCAAAGACAAGACGAATGACCTCGATTTCCCCCTTCCCCTTCGTGACTCCTTTCGTGACTCAAGAACGTGTCTTTTGGAAATCGTTTATCTATGGAATCAAATTCTTGCATTTATGCTGTATGTTATGGCAATTTGGAATGCCTCAATTATGTCCATCAAAGTGGCTACCCATGCACAATGGCACTTGCAGCATTGCTGTCAAGATTCGACCAACACATGTTGCAAACATAAACATGGGTAGCTTGAATAGCCAAATGACCTACTCAGAGTATAGTTTTGATTGATATAATATGTAAAAACAATTTGGTGTTTTCACTACCAGAGTGACTATCAAATACTAATAGCAGCCCGTATTCATAAGGAGCATTTGGGTGGAGCCCTCGCAGAAATCTCTCGCCGAAACACCAACCTTGTCCGCCCTACTGCAGCAAAAAAAGTTCCCGTTCTTCAAGTTGCCACTTCGGCTTGTTGTTGTTGTGTTTGTTGTTGCTCTGTCAAGAGTTCAATGCACTTGTTGAGATTTTTCAATTCTCCCTCACAGGCACCATTGTCAATTTCTGCCTGACGCATGGCTTGTGCAAACCCCAGAGCCGTAACATTGGCACACCGCAATGATTTCCTGGAGTTGGTTACCAATCGGAATCTCCCTGCGTTGTTGGCGGTGGTGGATGCCCCCTTTCCCAGCAGATACTTGACGACCGTGGGCATTCCCCGGACCGCGGCCACACATAGTCCGGTCAAGTTGCTGTTTTGGGCCTCAAATGTATTCGTGTTGACGTTGGCGCCCCGATGTTCGACCAACTCTTGGAGGGATTTGAGAATCACAGCCTCTTTGACATGGCGTGCTCGACAAACTTCCACCAGAAAGGCTCCTCCCGAGGACACACGATGATTGATGCGTAACTGAGGACCATATTCGTCGAGAATTCCCCGTAGTTTTGGTGATGTGAGTGCTGCTTTTCCACTCTTGTGTGCCAGTTCGGAGAGATAATAGTAGGCAAATTCGGTATTGTCAATGACGTGTCGATGGGCATCCCGGACCTTTTGACATGGACTTCGTTTCAAGCGCTTGCAGGAACGTGTCCCCTTGCGCTTGTCTGATTGCGCCGTATCAACTTGATAATCCCCCGCCAGGACGGCATCCCACAACGCCACGCTGCGTGCTTCTTCAAAGACTACTCGGTGTGCGGCCTTGCACAAGGGAGCCACTCTATGACACAAGATTCCAGCACGGTGCGTTGGTGGTGCCACATAGCCTACAATGTGATACAGAATCACTTCGGGGAGCTCCCATACAGGGAATTGTGCAGATGGTGAGGAGCTCATCGTCTCTTGGCAGAGTGCATGGCAGAGTGTGTTCTGGGCTGTGTTGATGCTTCTTTGTGTTTTTAACTTTAGAAGGGTACCGGTACCGGTACCGGTACTCAAAGCAAATTTGTCATTCAATAATTCTCTGTATCCACGAATGGCACTTCAACTACATTACTAGTACTAGTACTTATTTTACGAACTACGCATAAAAGCATTCTCTTTTCTTTTCTCTTCCTCCAGACTTCCGATGATATCCAAGCACTTCCCAATGTACCCAACACGCAACCAACCCAAATAAAAGAGATTCATTCCAATACTAAAGAGTTTCGTTTCAGGTTTGGCGGTCTCAAAATAGCAGGTCTTTCAACACCCGTGAAATTGACAGATAAGACGCAGCGATGAAGTTTGCCACCAAGATTGTTGCCTTGCAGCATCGAGAATGGTCGGATTACTACTTGGACTATAACGGGTTGAAGCTGATCTTGGCCGAGCTACCAGAGGATGCCGATGCCACGAAATCCGTCTCCCTTATCTCCAAAACCTTTCTAGTCAATGAAAAGGAGACTTCCATTACATTTTTGGCAGAATTGTACCGTCAAGTGCAAAAGATCACCTTGTTTGTCCTCCACCAACAAGGACAGATAGCGCATCAATTGGACAAGTACGAACAAGAGCAACAGGAATGCCTCCTGGCTTTGCAAGAACAACAACATGACGGCGCTGTTCAGAATGTGCAGAAATTGGCACAACTCAAGAAACTACGCGAAAGCTACAATCATGTCGGAGCGGATTTGTTGCATTTGATTCAATTTGTGGACCTCAATGTCAAGGGCATTCTCCGTCTGCTCAAGAAACATGACAAACGAGTCACGGCGCCGTACAAGGCCTATGATTTCTTTCTCTTTGGAGGAAAGACACCCACGAGTGCCATTCGTGCTCAAAATCAGAGTGCCACCATGATGGCGTCATTAAGGCATCCTCAAGCATTGGATGCTCTCTGTGTGACGCTCCAGACGGCATACACACAACTTCGAGTGGTACAGCAACATCAGTCAGCCATGCCGCAAGATCTAGAACAACCAGCCTTGCGAGGAAGAACTACCAGTGCGCAGGCAGAACGGTTGCCCAAAGAAGGCAAGACAATCATCAAACGAACTCGAAGTCCCAAAGGATTACCCCGTAGGCATCGCTCCATACAAGGACTGCAACAGTTATCTGTGGCACATGAAGAAGATGATGGTGAAGGATTTATACCCATCAAAAATCACCGTGCTCCCTCGATTGCAATGCCTTCCACATCCATGTCCTCCATCTTGGACAGTCGAGAAGACTTTGTCATGGCACAAATTTACGCGGCGCGACGAAACCTGCAACAAAATGATTCCGACAATGAAGTTCTCAACATGCTCGCCACCACCGCCTTGGGATTCCTCACTGAACCACCCGAAATCAACAGTGTGCATAGAGCTAGCACGGAACCACAATCCACCACCCCTGCCGGTGGGAAAGATGCCATTCAAGCCGAGTACGAACGGGCCGTGGCTCTGGCGGCCTACAAACGATCTTCGGCCATTTCGGGGATTCTCAACTTTGTCAGTAGTTTCATCTACATGGCCAACTATCTGATTGTGGTTCCCACTGTGGTGACGTATTCGGAAAAACTGGGTGCCGATCCTGCATTGAGTAGTGCCATTGTCGGCATGACACCTTTTGCCACCATCTTCTCCACGTTTCTGTACAGGTAAGGTCGTTCGATCGTACTCAGCGTTGTATTGCGTTCCACAACATTGCCTCACTCATTGGCCCTGTGACAGTTATTGGACGAGTTATTCCTATCGCACTCCGCTTCTATTTGCCGCCTCTCTCAACGTGGCGGGCAATCTCGTTTACGCAATGGGATACCCCTGCAATAGCATGGCCTTTGTTTTGATTGGACGGCTCATGTGCGGTTTGGGGAGTTGTCGTCCCATCAATCGACGTTATATCGCTGACGCTTATTCTACAGCAGAACGCACCGCTGCATCAGCACACTTTGTAGCTGTGGGATCCTTTGGTATGGCCCTGGGGCCGTTTCTGGGATCAGTGCTGCACCGCATGGCAGAACACAGCAAGAGCCCCTACTGGCAAGTGGAAAATGCCCCCGGGTGGTTTATGTCGGTGGTGTGGTTGATCTATGTCATTTTTCATGTCATCTTTTTTGTCGACCCACCCAAGGAGGAATCAGAATCCATCAAGAAAAACACGACAACCGGCGAAAAGCAACCCCTGCTCCAAAATGGCAACGGCAAGGAAACACAGACTATTAGTGTCAGCGACGACGACAACGACGACGACGACAGTATCAGCAATCGAATACCCATTTGGAAGAATTCTGCTGTCATGGTGAACTTTTTCATTTACTTTGTCGAGAAACTATTGATGGAGTGTGTGAGCAGCTCGACAAGCATCTTGACCTACTACTACTTTCAGTGGCCCGGATCGTGGGCTGGGTACTACCTGTCCTTTCTTTGCTTGTTGATTCTCCCGGTGAACTTGCTGGTGGCCTACCTATCCAAAACATATGAGGATCGCCAAATGATGATGGTGATGCAGGTGGTGACTATCGTTGGTTGCTTCATCATCCTACGATACGGCGACACCTACTACCTGGATCAATATTTGATTGGAAGCCTTGTCATTGTTGTCTGCAGCAATATGGTCGAAGGACCCAACATGAGTTTGCTTTCCAAGACAATCCCCAAGGCATGGAGGAAGGGTTTTTTCAATGTGGGACTGTTGGCCACGGAGGCCGCCACCTTGGGTCGGACCGCTGGAGATGTCTTTTTGGCCTTGTGTGGGACCGGTGGAATAGACACACAGCTCAACTATACCTTTGGTTCCATGGCGGTGCTGACCAGCTTCACTCTTTGGATCTCGTACCGTTACTATGATTCGCTCATTCCAACGGAAGACAAGACTTTGTAAGGAAGGGATCGAGATATTCGGCAAATCGGGTATACCGGTACTATGGTGCTTGGTTGGGCGTGGTGACCAGACACGCTTTGTTGCACAAGCCTCGTTTCTGCTTATAGGTATTTCTTCGAGTGGACGGTGTTGTTTGAAGCTAGAGTACTGTACTCGCTGAACTAATACAATAGCTATTGGAAGGCTAATGCAATAATGTACCGTAGTGTGGGCCACTTCATTGTTGACCACACGTGCTTTCCTAGTCGTCACCCTGCCAGCCACTGCGATACCAGGTACAGCGGCTCTGATGCAACAACAAAGCTGCATGATTGAATTGGTTGGGCAACAAAAAGAACGGGTTGTGCCACGATGAACTCCACGGTCTCGGAGCGGAGAGCGCATACCGTGGAGATGGCTTGGAGTTAAATTTTTAAGGGTTAACTCCCAACCAGAGCGTAAACAAGACTGCTTCCGACGCTGCTGGTTGTGTTGACGTTGACGATGGCACTTTCCTTTTTTCGAACGACCGTCTCCAAGCGACAGAGCTATTAGCAATAAGACCGCAACTACAAATAAAGAAACCATGTTGGCACCCCCCGCAGTAGAAGCAGACGTGAATGATGATGTTCCCTTGGGAGGCAACACCACCAACAACGACGAGAACAACGATGCCAACAGCATTCACAACGATGACCCGCAATCGGCCGCTCTAGAAGAAGGCGCTGGGGACCTCTCGGAACCCGTTACCCCTGCGGAACAATCACCCGGAGCTGATAAGGACGACGACGACGTGACTGTGATTGTGTTGGACCACAGTCCTGAAGATGCCAACGGTCAACGATTGACCATTGCCTGGACGGGGGAAGCAGGACCTCAGGTAGAAGAACGCCGCCGCCAGATTATGCTGCAAGAGCTCCAACGAGTCCAGCGCACATCGTTCTTGCACTTTTTGATTCTATGCTTAATTCCCACGGTGCTACTCTTCATCGTGATCGCGACTGTCATTAGCGAAGACGAAGAGTGCTTCTCAGAGGCAACTGTCTGTCACAAGGAAGCCAGAAGCTTTATTAATGCCTTTACGACTCGATGCGTCTGTGAAGCTATTGCCGTTCCCAGGTCAGGATGAAGAGGACGATGAAACCAACCTTTTTTGCGCAGTCAGTTCAGGTTTTCAAGTCAAGAAAAGGGTGATTATTCCAGCTCATGATCAGAAGTCGAAGTTCACGAACAGGATGTATTTACTTGTATTTATTAGGTCGATAAGCATTTCAGCAGCATAAGATGCACATTTTATTTTCTATTTTCCCCTGCTAACATGTATGGCTCGCATTGGATTAGTCACTAAGGTACCAAACCCAGCAGCGAGCGTAGATATGGAAACTGCGGGTATCGCCCCGTTGGATCGGGCTGCAATAAGCTGCCTCAAAGGTCCAATCTAGTCTAGCTAGCTCGGGCAGTCGGAAAAGCACAAGGAGGCATCAATGTGCGCATCCTTTTTCAATACAGTGTACCATGATACCGCATCACGAGCCATTAAGAAAAAAGACCTCTACTAGTACTAGTTGGTTGCTCTTGGTTGCCGCCCGCTGCTTACACGCTTTTAGGGCGAACTATCTGCATGGAAGCGAAACCTGGCTTCCGTTCGAGTAGCAATTTCGCAAACCAAAGCTCACGCAGTGCCCGCAAGAGCAACAGACGCGTTGGAGGCGACCAGGCCTTGTTCTCTTCTTTTAGAAATCGGCTTCAAGGCCGGTCCTGGTTGTTTGGTACCACCATTGTTTCACTCATTCGCAGGACTGCGGAGCGCGTTTGGGCTGACCACCAGTACGGTACCGGTAGCTGTATGTATCTATCATTGAGCAAAGTGACTATCATATGACTCCGCAGGTATCGGTACCAGAAATGGATCTTTCTATCTACGGTACCGACGAAACAAGGCAAAAGGTTGCTCTATTAGCTGGGCCAAAACCAGTTGGCCTCATGAAGGAATTTGGACTGACTGATGGAATGACTATCTGTCCTTTTTCTAGAGCAATGTGTAGCAATGATATGGATGATACAGCGAGCGATTCATCACCAATGTAATCATCATGCAACAACCACGGCCTAGTTTCAACCCTCCGTCCTCAAGGAAAATCCTTTAGGGATCGACCACCAATTCAATCTGAATTTTGGGGACCTTACCATCCATCGTTTGACATGTCTCCATGTTCAATGTGAGTGTCACTCCACTTTGACCATAAACCGTGGAAGAAAAGATGTCAAAGTTGATTCTGAACTTGGTGGGGTAGGCATTCTGCTGTGTTCTGTAGAATTTAATAAACAAAACAGTGATATGAGTTGCCATCATCACAATCTTTCAATATAGCATGTAGGCATGTCATGACCATAGGGGAACTTACGCTCTGACCTCCTTAATCCGAACCGGCTCGACGTCGTTGTGTACCCCCCAGACGACCTCTTTCTTGCTCTTGCTTTCCGCTAGTGGAGCAATGTGAACTTGCACTTTGGCTACCCCTGTGATGCCATCGCGAGCTCCATACTCTCGTTGTTCATGACTGCACTCCTTTACTTTGACGGCAAAGGCTTCCACTCCGAGTCTTGGTGCCCGAATCAGGTCCTCCGCCGAGTATTCAACAATGGGCCTCACTTGGAGCTCGAGTGGCATTGACAATGGTTCGTGCTCACTCTGCGCCAGGGACAAGTTGGCTGGGTTTCCAGTCACAAAATCAAAGAATAGAGAAGGAGCTGCCCAGCTGGACACACAGACCTTGGATTCGAAGCAGTCCTGGTGGTCCTTATGACATTTTGAGATCATGCTGAGTACCGAGCAGACCCCTGCCTCCAAGCGATCGCGGGATGAGAAGGCCATGGCACATTCTAGAGTGTCTAGATACTGAATGGCATGGATCAGGGCCACTGAGAGTCGCTTGTTCTTTGTCATTTGGGACACCTCGGCGTCTTCCTTCTTGGCGTCCTCCATCAGCAGAGAGGCTTGGCTGAGGACCCGAGACATTTCGTCCACAACCGCCGATCGGCAGGCTTCATAGACAAACGGATACCGTTCCTTAATGTCTTCCCGAGTCATTCGCTTGTGGATCGCATCGGCTCTCTGAGTTGCCTTGTCCAGGGATGAAGCCATCCGTGGACAGACTTGGATCGAGGCGTTCACTGGAAGCGAAGGACGCTGGATCTCCAAAAAGGAAATATCCTTGGGTAGGTCAAATAGTTTGGGCCTACTGGCAGGCGAGTGATCCGTGTCCGTGGTGAGTGTCCCGCCGTGGGCAGAAGGAGCAAGGATCTTTTCGTCGTCTCGTCGAGGGGCCATGTTTCTTGTCGCAGCTAATTGTTGCTATTGCCAGATAATAGGTTGGGGTATCTGCCTCTTTGATTTATGACTGCAGTCTTAGATTTCTTGACAATACGTTCGAATCTAATCTTCGCAAGGGATGATTGCTGACTTCGCAAGGTGGTAACAGCTAGTGTTAGGATAGGCGACGATGTTATTGTACGTACTAGTACTGTTGTGCCGATGTGGTCCAACGAAAAATAATGATGAGAATGGCTACAGCAGATGGCACTTTGTGAGCATGTTCGCTTGCCTGTCAACTTGGCTCAAACCTAGCATGTGGGTCGGAAGGGCGGCGCGGAACTAACCGTGAAAGCAGTGTACTGATTTACTATAGAGAGGCATCAGGGAACCAATCTGGGAGTACCGTGAGCGAAACTAGAAAGACTGTCAAGGTTCTCGTGATTGCCCCAACCTGGCAGTCCATTCTTTCTCCTTCCTGGTACGTCTTGACACCTTTGTCCGTTTAGGACGAAACGATCTCGACGAGCTCTTGACGTCGTCGATGTGGGTCACTCTCTCCAGCGTGGGAGGTGAAAGAAAGATTTCATTAAGGTGGGGTAAAATGTTCATACTTTTTAGATTTAGCAAAATAAATTTGAACCCCATCTTCTACTACAACATTAGCGCAAGGTGTGAAATTGGGATCGTCACTGTCGTGGGCGACGTGCACAAGTAAGTTAGCCAATGGGGGGCAGGGGTGTCCGGGGAAGACAAGCTGCGGGACAAGCTAGCCGAGAGACACAAGAAAAGACGACGTAGAAGTGTGCTTCAGAAAGAGACATCACTGTGATTGGAGTTCAGGAAAGTAGTGTCAATGTCATGTGTCAATAGTGTCAATGCCGCGCCATCCAGTCCCACAAGGGACCACTCCCAAATTTTATTCCGTTTTCCATCACTCTCATCAGCCACCCCTGCTAAAGTCACGACAGATTGGGCCCAAAATCGTTCTATTTTATGTGCAAGTATACAGTAGCTAGATTGCAAGCGCCAAAGTATGTGCAAGGTGCAAGTAATGGAGTTTCAAAAAAGTCGACTTGATGGCAACGAGCTAGACAGCAGCAAGATGGATGCAGATAGAGAGCTCCTGAATGCAGTCCTCAAAAAGATATCGTACCGGTACATTACATGTATGATATTTACAAATTGCTGCTTCCGAGCGGAACGATAGTGGTACTAGCTACCTGGTAGCTTTGGCCGGTGACCGGTACCAGTACATACCAGAGTACGATACTGCACCATTTAGTGGCTGTGCCGTTTCGCTAAAGGGCGTCTCCGACGAGCAGTGGCTGGAATTCCTTCAGGCCAAGGGGCTTCACTGCGGTCAGTACCGTACATGTAGCAGCCAGAATAGCAGCCAGAATGCGGGAGTAGCTAGCTATCCAAGTGGGCGGCAACCATCGTTTCAAAGCCTTCATCGCTGCCAACATCGCCGCTGGTGGCTAAATGGCTGAAAGCGGACAAATTTTGCCCAGCACAGATTGTTAGTCCTACCGGTATTATAATAAGGAGTGGCCATCCGGTCCCGGTAGCTACCTATGACTTCCAAATCCTTCTTCTAGTCTATCAGCTAGTCTCTGCGCCTCAGGACTTTATGAACACACAACTTGCTTGCAGGCTGTGGTTCTTGAACATTCTATCTCTAAAATGAGACCTGGATTGTCTCCAGAGAGGAAGTACAGTGTACAAGCAAAACTTAGTAATGACTTTTACTGGCTAGATGTTTCATTCCAGGGAATGCAACCCTCCCTGCTGAAGATCCGATCCATGGACGATCATGTTACACTCTGGCAGCACCCTCACCATGAACCTTACTATGTTTTGGTCCTTCAGGTGTGTGGCTGAGTTCAGGTGGTACCTGGTAGGTTGCTGTCCACAGTGATGACTTTAGTTTGCGCATTGCATGTAATTAATCATAGGTGAGTTGGATCAACCTTCAATTTGCTATCACCGAACCGGTACAACTGATAAACTCCAGAAGCTGTTTCAGTACCCGCCAGTACAATACTATGTAATCTCCATTCCATCTACTATAGATTGTATTTATTTATCCATACAGACAGCCTGTCTGTCGTTGAAGTCGAAACCAGGACGCCATTTCTTGTTTGTTTGTTGCGTGTGAACCTACTAGCTAGCAGCGACTGCCTCAGCCGATCCCAATACAAAACAGAAGCAAAAACCTCTGTTCACTTGAGCTTTTCTTTGTCTTTCTCTACTCTACAAACCCTTGCATCGGCGGTCCTCTAACCAAGCTAGATGGTCCAAAACCACTTGTCCTCCAACATCTTCAGGAACATTCTTTTCCGTGAGTTCATACTTGGCCATGTCTTCCCAGTGTTTTGACCCGGAGTGTACTTTAATGCGTTTTCGTAGCCGGTTTCCCAAGAGAGCCTTGACGACCGGAAAGACAGTGCTCAAGACCAGCGGGGGACGACAAAAGTGAATTGCACTAAGACGGACGGGTAAACTTCCCTGGACGCTTTTGGCCAGACGACCGATCAAGCCTCGATCCAGGTGTCCCATTGTCGAGTCATAGGAGTAAATGATAAAGATGACGCCTCGTTTCTGTGTGTCTTCATCCTCGAGAGAAGCGTGGAACCAGTACCAGACAGCCCTCACCATACTGTCCTGTGTGTACTGAAAATCCTGCATTTTGGGGTCGAGGAAAAACATGGACCGACCGCCCACTGCCTTTGTGTCCATGAGCCGAAAGAAGCCAGTCTGAAGAGCGGCGGTATCATCCCGAAGAGCTCCCGAGAGAGTGAGAGGTTCAAATGCCTTTTCGGGCCCAAACACGTCCACACGTTTGTCCCAGTACTTGGTGTAACGCTTCACGGCAAGCTGTAAAGGATAATGGATGAGGGACAAAGGATAAGAAAAATGGAAAAGTGAGAAAAACTCTGTTTTGGGAATATCACAGCAAAGAATGGGGAGATAACCTCATCGAACCAACCACACGTAAGGTAACGTACATCGACATGAAACACTTCACATCGCAGAAAGACAAGCTTGAAATCGTCCGTCACCAATTCAGGGCACTTGGATTCCGCCAGAATTGCGTTGACTTTCTTGTCTTCCGGAATCTTTTCCATCAGAGCATTAAAAGCTTCGAGGGAGTCTCGCAGCAGTGCTGGAGTTTCCACCGGGTGAGATTGTCCGTAGACATCCGCTCCTTCTTTCATGTTCATGCCCATGGTCGTGGTTTGTGCTGCTCTTTGCTGGTAAGAAGATTAGAGGTACGACCGCACAGGTGTTCAGACAAAAAATATAGAAAAACTTTGAGCGACTTGGGCGTGACGACAAAAGCAGAGAGCGTGACAAGCATGCACAATTATTCGTTCAACCGCTCTAATATCGAGCCCACCTTCTAGCTAGCGGTAGCAACGTAGCAACCGGTACATGTACTGGTACCTACAGTGTAAGGTACCGGCACACTGATGAACTGTACCGGTAGCCTAACTCGTACATGTACGAGCGAACTGCAGCACCCAGCCCTGTCAAAATAAATAAATAAGTATTGATGCAGGTACGTCTGCAAATCGATGATGGTTGAGAAGCGAAACCGGGAAGAAAAAGTTGCTTGGGACGAACACCGGAACGATTGGTAAAGACTCCATAGATGTCTTTCCCTCGGTGTCAAGTAGATGGTTAATGGTAGTAGTACCGGTAGCGTATGCCGATGGCTGCAAGCTGCTCAGCGTGTGTTATCTTTAGTATTCACCATGGATTGGCTCCTTGTTACATGTACCGGTAGCCTAGCTAGGTATCTTGTCTTGTGGACTTGTTGGTACGGTATCTCGGCCAGTTCTTGAGCAAATGGTTTGACAATGATGCAACCAACTATTGCCGCTCTACCTGGCGGGGACCGGTTTGGATTGGACAGCTTAGCCATTCTCCGATATGATGGAAACTCTATCAAATACATAGAGTAAACCAAAGAAGCAAAGGTGAAACAACAAGCTCGGAAGTGCTTGCACATGCGCAGTCACTCAGAGTGAGATACGAAAGAGTACAATAGTATCTTAATAATAGGGGTGAAATAACTAGAATAGCTTTATTCGCGTGGACAGCAGAGGTCATTTCCATTCATTCTTCAAAAGATTTTTCTTTTCTCTTGCTTCCGCCAAAGATTTGGCTCCAAACTCCAAACTCCAAACCATCCAACCACAACCACACCGCTTAGGCAGTCCTGGTTACAATATCTTTGGGTTGACCACTAAACAGCCACCATCATCTCGAGGAGGATCAAGCCAATAGCCTCGCCACCGCCCCATCCCAAGCAGCCGTACCACCTGTGACGACGTCGTCTGGTTTGTTTGCGGTATCTTTGGAAAGATCCAACAGAGGATTTTTCGATCTGTCAACAACAGTTAGCTAGCAGTTTGGTGGGTGATGCTTTTGGCGTCATTGCTGTTGGCTCGGTGACAATATATTAGCTGCAACACTTACTGTACTTGACTTTGGATATTATTGGACGACATGCCAGGATATTCGTTGGCTCCAACAAACGGTGGAGACGAGTTGGCAGACGAGAGCAACAGCGATGGTGGTTTGACTACTATGTCCCCTACCCGAAGAAAGAAAATGGCGATCGAAACAAGTGATTCCAGGCCTTCCTACAAGAAAAAAACAAGTCGAGAACTGGAAATGACGCCATTGTCTCCCGGCAGCGATGGCGTCTTTGAAAGATTTGACGATGAAATTGGGGAGGATGGGTTGCATGTGGCCCAAATGAGATCTACCGTTTTGCCTCTCTGGTTCGAAGACTGGCTCTTCCCACCTCACTTACCTCGACAATGCCAGTTGCTGAGAGTAGAAAATATCGCAGTGCCAGCCTGTTATCTTCTTGTGGGGCTCTTGTTGGGTCTATCTTCGCCATTAATCAATGCCTACCCAATCGATTTGGGAGCCTCAGAAGCTCAACAAACATCCATATCCGCTATTCGCAATCTACCTGCCAGTTTCAAGCTAATTTTTGGATTCCTCTCGGATTCAACACCCTTAATGGGATATCGAAGAAAATCGTACATGGTGAGTGAGTGAGTGATACCACAATTCATATTATTTGTTGACACGACAATTTACAAAAATCAGGAGGCGATATGTTTGGGTCGTTTTGCCTGTTTCATTTTTTAATCAATGTGTGGTTACTCTTTGTTTCAGCTCGTGGGATGGTCTCTTTGCAGTGCCTCCTATTTTGCATTAATACTGGGGTCAAACCTCAGTATGCAATTGGGATCCACTGGATGTAGCGCAAAAGTCAGCTGGATGCAACACCATCGGTCCCTCCTGACGATGCCCCAACAATGCCCTTTCTATCCCTCTGTGCCTTGATGGCGGGGATGGGGTTGTGGCTGGCGGATGTCATGGGAGACAGCATTGTTGCGGAAAAGGCCAAACTCGAGCCTCCCGAGTATCGCGGATCCATTCAATCCAGCTGTTATGCATTTCGATTCTTTGGATCCATGATTGCGGTGCCACTCGGAACCTACTTGTATTCCACACTGGGACCATTCTATGTTGTCGTGCTATTGGCGCTATTGCCTCTGTCCATCATCCCTTTCGTGGTAACGTTCAATGAAATAAAGGATCTTCCAGTGGCTCCCATCCCGGAGCAATGCCAGGAAATCTTTAATACAGTCTGTTCACGAGCGGTGTGGCAGCCGTTGGGGTTCGTTTGGACGTACAATATTCTTGTACGTACAGTGATTTGAGTCTCCTGTGTCCATGCCATGATCGTCAATTATTTCTCATCAAAGTCTTCCTCTTTGCAACGATACAGCAAGTCGGGAATTCTGCTTGGAAACAGTTCTTGCGGACCAATCTAGGATTCACTGCTTGCCAGCTGAATATGATGCTTGTGAGCGCCTACATTTTGTTGTATGCTGGAGTGTTGACCTATAAATACTACATGATAAATTGGTCCTGGCGGAAAGTTTACATTGTGACCACTTTGCTCAATGGGCTGTTCTCGATCTTGCAAGTCCTTTTGATCTACGGAATCACATTTGGCCTTTCTCCCTTTTTATTTGCATTTGGCGATGATGCATTTGCTGACTTTTTGGGAGGGGTTCAATTCCTGGTAAGTGACTCTTTCCTTATTATAAGTGCTCACGTGGACGTCATTCTGCTTGTGTTGCTAGCTGCTAAAGTCAAAATTTCAAATTTTTCCATGCACAGCCGACAACTATCATGATGGTACACCTGTGTCCATCTGGGAGTGAAGGGGCAAGCTATAGGTATGTTCCTTGAAACGTTGCATTTTCCTGGGCAGCAATCCCATCTGATCCGCTTCTTTTGCCTCTGACGGCTCGGATTCACACGACAACAGCATGTTCACAACAGTCAACAACAGCGCAGGAACGTTGTCCGTTGCTGTTAGTACAATGCTTCTTGGTATCTGGGATGTATCCAAGAAGGCTCTTGAAAACGAAGAGCTGCAGGGTCTAGTCAACTTGACGTATCTCACAACGGCGCTACAGGTCTCGGGTGTTTTCCTTGTGTTCCTCCTGCCCCAGTACAAAGAGGACCTGGAACGTCTGAAAGCATCCAAAACGGGCACCAGCAAGATTGGTGGCGTCATTTTCCTGACGATTACTTTTTCATCCATTGCATACGCTATTGCGGTGGGGTTGCTGAACATTATCGCTCCAGGATGGATGGGAGAATCATAGAACAAACAAACAAAAATAGAAAGAAGATTGCTGCGTTGTATTTTTACTAGTAGCTGATTGGAGCCTCGTGGCTCAAAAGCAGTAAATTGTTTGGTGATCGCAGCAAACCTCCTAACTGAAGCTACCGTATCTAGGCGACAACACATTTGTGCCGCAAGAGAGTCAACTCTGTGCAGTGAGGGCATTCCATGTTGTCATCCCTGTGCGCCACGACGTATCCCATCCTCAACAAATGCGCCTGAAACTCGACAATGTCCACTTCATCTTTGAAAATGACACCCTTTTCAGGCCACAGCTCGTGCATGGCAGTTCGATAATGAACTTCCATCAGTATTTGCATGGGTAGCGCTACTTTGCTGGAAGCTTCTAGGTTGTCAAGTTCAGGCCAAGACTCGAATATGGGCCATTCAAATCCCTCAATGTCGAGTTTCAAAAGATCCAACCTCGTGTGATTCAGTTGTTTCTGGATGCTTTGAAGAGTTTTCATGGCTCCGACGACTCCATAATCACCAGACACATCCGGCTCTGGGTGCTCCGGAGGGGGTACACTCTCGGCTGCCAGGCAGATGTGATGAAAGCGGTGTCGATCACTAATCCTCGCGGGGGGCTGAAAGCGATAGGTGGGCCCTGTGCAATCGAACGTGTGGATCTCGCATGGAGTCATGTCGTAGATCTTTTCCTCGAATACCCAATTGTTGCTTTGAGATAATACCATGTATATCAGTAACATTATTAAGACTTGGAATCAACCTAAGTTCAAATCAACGAGCTTCAAACTTACTTGCTCCCAATGGAATAAATGATACAGCCGGGTTGCAGGGTCTCGGCTCCACAGACGATTTTGCTGGTATCTTCTCGGCATTCTCCCGTGCATTTAAAGGAACAAGGTGCCATGACATCAAAGGCATCAAACTTGTCGTGTGTATACTTTCCATATGAGTTCCAGTACATGGCATCTCGGACATTGGTTTTGTTGGCCAACCACTTTTGAGCCTTGTATTCGGCCGACGCGAGCGTATTCCCTGGGAGCAAAGATTTCTGGTACGGATTCTGGTTGCAAATCTGAACGCTCGGAGCTCCTGCCTTGCCCCAAATTGTTTGCTTCTGGTTGCAATCTGCCAGTAACATATTATTCGGTTGGAACTGAGGATTCCCTCGGAGGGACCCAGAATAGAATCCCGTCAAGAAAATGGTAGATACAAAAATGAAGCGACCATAAAACATTAGTTTGGATCTCGCCTTGGATGGGCTCTGCACCGGAGGAAGCGGCTGTGGAGATGATATCACCGTCATTGTCTTGCCAAGTGGGCACTGTAGAGCGAGAGTTGCAGCACCGACGGTGCTAGTACTAGTATCGAAGCTACCGTTGTGGCAACATTGGCCGCGGTGTGGAGAAAAAATGACAGATGTTTTTTGGTGAATTCGGAAAATCCGGAAAAGCTTCCTTTTGAAAAAAATAGAACTTCAGGCGCACACTTTTCCAATCATCGCTGACGTACGCTTTTGTTGTCAACAATGCTTTTTCTTTTGACTGAGTCATCACTGCGATCAAGAAGTAAGTCACCATGGCAACCGAACCAGAAATGACATGAAGGCATTGTCAACAAGCTCACATCGCATTCCCTTTATCACTTGAGCTTGAGCTTATTCCGTATTGTTAATTATTTGAAAATGAAGTCAACATCAATCATCGCATCGGCCTTGTTGGTCTGCTTGGCCTACCTGTCGACGGCCTCGGCGTTTGCTCCCAAGGCATTGGTTACTCCCACGGCTACAAGGACAATGACTCAAGTTTATATGGGTGTTTTTGATGGAGAACAGGAGCGTCAACAATTGACCCGTGACTCTGAACCAGAAGAGTTCTTCCAGACGTGAGTGACGGACAAGAGATGAACCAGAGGAAATGCTATGCTGATGGTAGCCATCGCGATGTCGTTGTGATGGACGGACAAGCAGTTTCGTTCACTCACTTGATTCACTCCTTCGTTTCCTCCTACCTATCTGTTTTCTCTTCAGGAATACTGACAAAATGTCGGATGGAGAAAAGCTACCCATTGCCCTTGCAGGAGTTGCCTTCATTGCCCTTCCCTTCATTGCTGGTCTGATTGCCCTGTACTCTGCCAGGTAAATATTTATTTATTTGCCATCCCTCTGGCCAAGGCCGCTGGAAGCAATTAATTGTTGGCATTCTTTGGGCGAGCGCATCTGTTGAGAACATGCTGGGACGGTGTCTATAAAGACATGCCAAACAATATACAGCAAGATGAGGCCCATCATTGGGTGCCCCCGAGCTCTGTGGGGGGAAACAGTCTAAAGCTAGATATTCCATTTTCTACTTTTATAGAAAGCTGGAGCTGTTCTGAATTGGGCGAATCTTAGAAATGATGCGTCAGCTGTGGAAGCCTCAACCGAATAATTGGGTGTGCTTAGGTATACCTGTCTTTCTTGTCATAGCAATGTTATTGGTGGGCTCGTATACCTGGTGTTTGACGTGCAGGTCGTGGTAAATTCAACGTTTCCGGTGGATCTGCGAGAAGGCACCTCCGTCGCCCAACTTGCGCTACCTGTTGGGTATTTGAATGCTTCAGCCTACGTACGCCATCTACCCAACTATTGATCCCGTGAAAACTACGCAATGCGCTTGACACTGGAGAATCTGTGCATCTACTTTCAGCAGACGCAGTACCCGTAGCCCCCTTCAGATGATGGCCTCGCAACTTGAAACTACATTGGTGGTTGATTGACCGGATATTGAGAGCGCTGGACTTAGAAGTGCGGTGCGATGCATTGCCACCGAACAAATCCACATACCGTACCTTGTACCTTTCAGCTCTTTCACTCCATTACTCCCTCTTCAGTACCACGCTGTGATCCTCAGACTGCGAAAGGACACATGTACATACATGCACACTCGCGGAAGGTACCATATACGTCGATCAGGTTACGACGTGCTTAGAGTGGACTAGGTTGTGTGGGAATGGAGTTCTTGAGAGGTCCAGGGTAGCATTATTGCAGGGGGCTCACGATCACAAGGACGGAGGACAGGGAAAGGGGAATGGGTGAGAGGACAAAGACCAATGATAGAGATCCAGAGGGCCACAATCATACCAATGATGGCAGCTCACTGTAGAAGCAGGGACATGAAAACCATGGAGGCACATCACAGCTGCTTGCAATGCTCAATTGGGCCGAAACCTAGCAAGGAGCGAACCACAGAGTAGGGCTTTGAACACTTCTTAGCCAAAAGCTGGGAGAACCGGCGGAGAACAGCTCTATCTTCAGCAGCAAAGAGGCCATCAGCATACATGTAAACAACAAGGGGGGCGAAGTGTACGTGCGGTCCCACAGTGTCGACAACCCATCCGCTGTGTGCGGTTTCGCAGCGTTGGTATCTCTGATTATAGGGAACACGTATGAAACTGACTCCCGCGATAAACCAAGGAGCCACTGACCACGTAGGTATCATACAGCATGGTCTGCCGTAGTCGAACATTGAAAGTGGGATGTGGTATCTAAGAGAGGTTGTTGTTGCTTGTTTCTTCTCGTCTTCTCAGTTCAGTGAACTCCCTCTGTCCGAGGATTTGTGTCCCTCCAATTTCTGTGTTTGGGGCCCTCCTTCCATCCGAAGCAGGGTTCTGTGTCGTTAGGTAGTCACTGTTTCATCACTTCAGCATCATATTTTAGATATCATTGGATGTTTTTAGAAAAAGGCAATGACGCAACCACTTGATAGCAACAAACACAAGCATTGGGGTGGCAGGGTATTTGGATTGTTGTTGGGGTCTTTGATGCTGTCATTGCAACAGGGAAAACTTGCTTGGTCGATTGAAGCAGAGTCGGAAAGAGCACTTGCTGCTACAAACAAACAAACCATTCAACTGGACATTCTCAGTGTTGGATCCTCAGACCGAAGAGACTTGTTTGATGCACAGACTCAAACATTTGCCCAGCCCAACACTGGTTACGTTCGGAATGTGTACTGGATCACTGAGGACGATGATTCCGACCAGGCTTGCCGGGACGGCACGTTGACCAGCGAGCATAGAAATAAGGCATTCAAGTTTTGCAAAGAGCAGTATCTCTGGAACAAGACTGCCACCACAACTGACTTTATGAGACGAAATGTCGGGGTGAAGAATGGAAGGCTCTTCCAAGGAAAGGCCAGTCCCCAATGGCTGTGTGCACAAAAGCGCTTCCCACTTGGTCTCGCCAAAGTGGTAAAGGGCTACAAGAATGACAATGACAACATATCATTACCAGACTATTTGTTAATGGTCGACGATGATACATGGTTTGATATCGACAAGCTGGTGAGCCATGTCCTGGTTTGGAGGCAGAATCCTAACAAACCCTATGTGGGAGCAGGGTGCAAGGTCACCAAGAAGACCTTTGGTCCTGGCATTGAGGTTGTGGTATTTTATGGAGGAGCAGGTTTGCTGCTATCCAAAGGAAGCCTTGAGAGACTGCTGCGGCCTCTCGAACCACTGCACAGCGACAATACACAATCCAATGAGAACAACTGGACAGAGCACGCAATCGATCAGCCGGACCTGGATGACTGGGAAACACAAGTCCAAAGTGCCCTCCACAACAACCTAGCCTTTGAGAAGGATCTCTTCCATCCAGGAATGAGCGTCATGGACCTAATCGAGTCCTACTCCAAGGCAGAAGCGTTTGACAATGTGGAACAGTGGACCAGAGGTTTTTGCTTTCACAGCGACAACTTTTTGTCCTATTTCATTGAGAATTATAGGATTCATGAGACTCAATACCTAGAAGCTCTAATCCCTCAAGTGTGGAGTCATGATGAATGGTTTACATTTGAGGGTGTTTGGATGCACAGAGGAGACAGATGCCCAAAGGATTCCATGATTTGTCACTATGTGTTGCCTCAGGAAATGCATGCGCTACAACACAACAAGACTAGCCCTGTACTTGGCTCAGTTTCTTGATGGAGTGAACCTTTTGAAGGGCTACAGATAAATAGCCACCCGTCAACTTATTGGGCAACATAATGATAGCCTCACTCAACGCTGGTGATATAAGACTGCCCAAAATAGCACCTACAGGTACTTCTTGGCCACCACTCTTTACCTGTATTGGATGATGCCACAAATAGAGCACTAGCTAGAGCCAACGAACATCCACAATTGTTGCACTAGCTGCTTTGCATGACACAGCTGGCACAAAACCAGCACTACTGCCAAGGAGATGAGCCCGCAAGTTGGACACTGCCTTGATGGTTGGTTGACCATCAACAGATACTGATAATGTTCCATTGCTTGGATTTCCTTCTGACAAATCAAGGGTCATGGTGACACGTGATCCTGGCAGAAATTTGGCAGCTTCCCCCAATTGCCGACAAACATGCGCATCGGAGTACTCTTTTCCACAAAATGATATACTAGTACCCCAGCAATTTGGTTGATCGCCACAAAACTTTGTGGGGTTAAGAGAGTGGGTAGATTTTGCCACACCAAGCCAAGCCAGAGGGGTATCATGGGAGGTAGCTATGACAACTGTCCAGCAATATTTTTCACCCATTGCAAAAAGTGCTCCATTGAGAGCATCAGAGTTCCAATCCGAACCAGATCCTGTGGCCGTTTTGGAAAAGGCCCCCCTCCACTCCACTGAGTTGACATCAAAGGGAGGTTGGTGCATTGCTTTCTTTGCTTGTCGTTTGAAGGTATCATAAAGTTGGTCCTTGCTCACAAGACCTGATGTTTCAACGTAGGTGCCCAAATCATCAGGGTCTATGAATGCCAGTTCCACGTACACACGAACAAAGGACTTGGCAGCAATTTGGCGGCATTCATGTGTTTTACCAGGAATAATTGGTGGCTTGCTTTTAGACCATGCATGAATCAGATTGAAGAGCTTGGTATTGTCAATTCTTTCCTTGGCATCTTGAACAATGCCTGCTAAAACTATGGAAGAAACATCGCTTAGAATCATTTCATTCAATGGACCCGTCATCCCAGTGTAGATTTTCCAGGCCTGATTTGTCAATTTTGCTGAAATCACGGGGCCATCGTCTTTGGATGCAGCCAAAACCGCAATGGCACAAGATGGTATGGCGTTCATAAAGGCAGCAAGGCATTTCTGAGCCTTTCGGCAGAGGCCTGGGAGTCCAACGTAGATTGCTGCTTCAGTCAATGACACCAAGGTCTTGAATTCTTCCATGTGGCCAGCAGTAATCATTTGAGAAGAAGAGTATCCAACGGCACCGTCAAAATATTCGAACAAAGCAGCGGCCATGTCCGTGTGAATGTACTCCACGATTGCCTTGAGAACCTTGCTGGAAAATCCAATGTGGACTACATCATTGCTGGATTCCCGAAATCTCCCTCTTTGGAACATTGTCTTGAAATAGTCACTGCGAACAGAGAGAGCCATTCTGTTTGCCGGTACCAGCACTCCGTCGTTTCCTTTGAGAGAGACATCATGATACTCCTCGTCCGCCAGCGGAGCAAATGCCTGTGAGAGAGGCACCTCAAAAGTCTCGTCTGTGGTACTGGTAGTAGTACCGGTGCCAGTGGGCATGTTACTGTTGAGTTGTTGATGAATGAAGAGAAGGTTCAGATTTGTAAATCAGCGCCCGCCCAAAAACACCGAGCAATGCCATTAATAACACCCAGCAGAGCTGCTTTGTACCGGTACTGGTACCGAGGCCTTCTTATGTGCACGCAAACGAGAGCCATCCGTCCGTCAGATTGATTACGAATTGCAAGATGATATCCACAAACCACTTTCATGCCTACTTCCTTTGATGAGCTCACTTCTTCCTGCTGATAGCACCGACTGGACGTCTCTACTCAACAGGACGAGAGAGTTGTTGAAGACCGATGAGTCGTCATCGCTTGACTTGGCCAGAACCAACTTTTCCCAGACTCGTGATGTTTTGCAAGCATACAGCAATTTATTACTGCTCGCTGGCGACAATGGCACCAAGAAAGAACTCTCCAAAGACTACAAGAAAAAACTGATTTGGGACACTAGAGCCGCCCTTCGAGTGGCACTTTCCAGTACTTCCATTCAAGATGAAAACCTCCGAAATCAAGTGTTAAATTCAGCAGTATTAGAGTTGACATGGCACGAACCCATCCTTCAGATCCTATCCAGCCAAAAGGGAGATTCCAAATGCCGTGTCCTGGCTTCGCAATTACTGAGCAACCTTGTTACGGCTCACAGGGATGCAGCTCATGTTATCACTTCCCACGTCGCACTCTCGCCATCCAATGAGCAAGTTACCGATCGAATACGGCAGGGCTTGACCACAACAACAACCGAGCCTGAGAAAAAAACAAAGGGGGAGAACGAACCACCCAACTGGATGGATATGTTGCTGGCATGTGCTCAAACAAACAATCGGGAAGCCATGGCGGGAGTAGTGGCAGCATTACACAACTCCGTTGTGTCTCTACGGAAACGTCCCCGCGACGACGACAATGCCAAGTGGTTGGACGAGAGGCTTGCTTTGGACAGGCTCTTGATGAGCACACTTTGTAGACAATTGGTGCCAGTCGGGCAGATCAAAGCTTTGATTCACGACAATACACAAAATAATGATGACAAGGACGCTCATGATACAGGCGGCCTTGGGGATTCTGCCACGGAGTGGATAACGCTGTTGCTGACCAAGTGCTGCAAACTGGGACATTTTTCCAAACTGTTTTCGTCACTCGCTGGACAGAATAAGTTGCCTGCAGATATTGCCATTTTCCCAGAGCACATGGTGCTATTGCAGTGCATCCACAGTGAACTGGATGCGCCAGGAAGTAAAGAGATTGTGTTGGGGGGTGAAGCTGGAGTGGAAGAGGTGATTGCCACACATGTATTCTTGTCCGAATTATGCGGCTCCCTCAGAAAGAACCTTCCGGTGGCCACTGCCACAGACTCGGCTGACTCGACAATGAACCACCATGCCCTGGTGACAATTCTAGAAATCTTGGCGGCTTCTCTGGGACAAGACAATGACATGATTTCATCAACCAGGAGCAAGCTTGGTGAAAGCTGTTGCACTTTGCTATCGGATGCTGGCATTCAGCTTGGAGCTCTCGTGGATTCCATTTCATACCGAAACGAAGGGCGGAAAAGCCGTGACTTTGTCATACAGCAACATGAACAACGTGTCATGACGGCATTGGTGCAGCTCATTGGCAACGTTTGTTTCCGGTGCCACAGGAATCAAGAACGCCTGCGACTGACCAAGGTTCCACCTCTGAAGCAGAGAATCAACGCTGGGTCGTCTTCTGCTGAGGAGGAAGAAGAACGAAATGCACTCCATGTGCTTCTTTCGTGCACTAGTTTGGCGCACTCTTGTTTTACACTACGGGAGTGGGCCGTCATTGCGATTCGTAATGTCCTGGACAATAACGAGCACAATCAGGCAGAAGTCGCCAAGTTGGAGGCCAACAAACCTGTCCAGTCGGCAGAACTGGCTAGTCTAGGCATTCGAGTTGATATGGATACGAAAGGAAACGTGTCCGTGGTGCCGAACAACAAAGATGGTGGGAACCAAAATGATGCCTAACAACCAGCAATCAATCCCACCGAGATAACGGTATGCACGAGGCAACAGAACTCCAGCCTGAAGGCTTGTCTCTGTCAATCCCAGTAAATTATTTAGTATACTCACTTTTTGCTGCAATTGATAAATGCGGGGGAAGTCGGACGATACCGGCACTAAATAATGGAAGAGGGGAACGCGTCAGGAAAAGTTCCACACATTTCAACCACGACCCATGGTTCGGTATGGCAATCCCATTCATTCACACTACGAAGAAACAAGGCGCCATCCAAGCGGTACGAGTGACGAGTCATGCGAAAGCTCAGCCAAAACTCAATCTTAAACTAGCTAGTTCTTAGTTAGGTGTAAGGCTACAAACAAGCCTTGAAGTTGGTCTATCAATTCAGCATGCGTTCGTTCGTTCATTCATTCCTCCGTCAATCAAATCCATTGGGATTCTTGGATTGCCACTCCCAGAGGTCACGGCACATTTCTTCTAGTCCTAGCTTTGCTTCCCAGCCTAGTTCCTCCCGTGCATATGTTGGGTCGGCATAGCAGGTAGCAATGTCACCAGGACGACGTGGTCCAACCTTGTATTTGATTTCATGTCCACAGGCTTTGCTCATTGCCTTCACCATGTCCACTACCGAATATCCTGTACCAGTTCCCAAGTTGAAGGTGAAAACTCCGTGGTCTTTCTTTGTCATGTAGTCGATTGCCGTCACATGGGCTTGCGCCAGATCCATCACGTGGATGTAGTCGCGCACTCCTGTTCCATCGGGCGTGTCGTAATCGTCACCAAAGACGGTCAAAAATTCTCGTCGACCAACGGCAACCTGGGAAACGTAGGGCATGAGGTTGTTGGGGATTCCATTGGGATTTTCGCCAATTTCTCCCGAGGGGTGGGCTCCGACGGGATTAAAGTATCGCAAGAGAGCCACTGTCCATGTACTTTTCTTGTCCTTATCCAAAGTCTTGGAATTGTAAAAATCTTTCAAGACTTCCTCCAACATGTATTTGGTTCTTCCATAGGCATTGGTGATGCCAGCACCAACTGGTACGGATTCGGTAATTGGCATTTTTTCGACCATGCCGTAGACTGTAGCTGAGGAAGAAAACGCAATGGAATGACAGTTGAACTCATCCATCAAACGCAGGAGAATAAAGGTTCCACCAAGATTGTTTTCGTAGTATTTGAGAGGGATTCGAGTACTTTCTCCCACGGCCTGTTTTTATAAAAACAATCAATCAAAAGTTCATTAAGAACGACACTTTGGGTCGAAAAAGCTGGGGTAGCCCGGATGATTGTCTTTTTATCCTGACGGATTGGATTCCATTCAGTTCACTTACTTTCAGCCCCGCAAAATGAATGCAGGCATCAAATGTTGGGCCGGTTTCAAAGACTCTGCGAAGAGCTGGTTCATCGCAAAGATCCACCTCATGGAAGGTCAAGCGAATCTTCCTCTGTTCATCGTCCAATCCCACAATTTTTTGCACCCGATCCAAGGAAACCTTCTTTGAATTGGATAGATTATCCACCACTACAACATTGTATCCTTGTTCCAAAAGCAAGACAATAGTGTGGCTGCCGATGAAACCGCAGCCGCCCGTCACTAAGATAGTCTTTGTCGTCGTCATGGTACCCATTATTTTTTTGTTTTGTTTGGTTTTGCTTCTTCTGAAAAGACTTCTGTGCATGATTGACAACCCGGAAGGTTGTCTTGAGCTTGCTTGACTTTCGCCAACGAGCACTTCAGGCGATCTTTAGCATCGCTGACGTGTTTGGAAGGTAATCTGTCAGGCTCTTTGCGAACCTTCGCGTTATCAGCCAAAGTGGGCCCACCTAGCGTACGTCAACTACGGTAGGGCTCAGGTGAACCTGTACCACCGCCAAATCAGCTGCTCGCGCCAATCGTTAGTTCATTGGCTCGGGATTTAGACAGATTCGGCAGCTCCTTCCGTTTTCCGTTGAATGTCACTCGGGCTGCGCCAGGGCTCCATTGCATCCTCTTCTCTGCATCCCATGTTGCTGTACCTTCGAAGCTGTCTGTAGTAGAGTTAGGCCGCCACCATGATGAAAGAAGAGTCCCCGGCACCCACCAAACAAGGCGGAGAGGAGCGTTCAGGCTTCAATGAGGAATACGAATCTCTTGCGGATCATGAAGTTGCCGACATCAACCCGTTTGCGAGCAAGCATCATCGACCTCTGGTCTTGATGAGATCATCCTCGAACAGCAGCGCTGGCTCTTCGTCGACCTCTCCCACAGGGCTCCGCGCAAACAGCTTTAGTCCATTTGACCCTATGATGGCTCAAGCCGCAGCAGCTTCATCGACCAGCGGTAGAAATCCCACCCGAAAGAACAGACCACTGAATTCGCTGTTGGACGATTCGAGATCGTCGGATGGCAGTCCACCACTACAACAGCAACAACCACAATCCACAGTGCGCATGACGCAACCCTCTGGAATGGCTGGTTTTCTGGAAATGGAGGAAGAACCGACACGTTTTCGTGAAAGCGCCGAAGCAGCACGTGTCCTGGAAGAGCAAGATGACTTGATTGACTTTACGCCCGCCGATGAACCCATCCAAACCACATCTGGATTGCTGTTGACTCATCGGAGATCTTCGGCCGAGAAACGAGCAGATAAAGGCAAGTCATACTCCAGAGGAAACGATTCGAGATCGTCGGATGGCAGTCCACCACTACAACAGCAACAACCACAATCCCAGTGCGCATGACGCAACCCTCTGGAATGGCTGGTTTCTGGAAATGGAGGAAGAACCGACACGTTTTCGTGAAAGCGCCGAAGCAGCACGTGTCCTGGAAGAGCAAGA